GTGCTTGTGACATCCAGATAACCTGATCCAGATGGGTGTTTGCCAAATTCTACGTTATGTTGACATGGCCTGCCTTTATAAGGAGAATTAATTAGATACCAAAGGCATGGTTGGTAATTCATGGCAAAGGGCAAGCCCTTGCTGTTTGACTTGCTTTACTGTTATGATTACATGATTCTTTTTTACGTTGCTGCACATGGAAATACATTTTCTAGAAACTGCAGCACCGCTGTTAATGCCACTTGAGGGTGTTGTCAGGGCTGAATGGGAGAGGAGGTAATACTCATATACAATGTTTAATGTATTCAGGAGTAAATATAACATGGCGGGTTCCCCTTTGATTCTATACACTATATTCAACACTTTCAATATTAACAGATAACGTGTTGGTGTGAATTGCCGCATCTAAGTATATAACATCTTCGTGGGGTAAATAAATAAATATTGATTTTTGAGCACGAAAGACCAACATTCCAGACCACGATTATTAAAATTGCGATACCCTGCTATGAACTGGGGAACAAACGCTATCCGTGTTAAGAAGTCAACACGGTTTCATTACAAAAGTCATGTAGTCAAAAGCGATCAAGAGGACAACCAAACAATTAGGTTATCGTACTGTTAATATACTCATGGAAACGAATAAGGGAACACATGAAAGTGTTCCTTTATTTCCAGAATTTCACCCACAGTGAAATACAAACCGTGTGAAGAAACCTGGAAAAGAATAAAGGTACACTTCTACTTTCATGTGTTCCATCATTCGTTCCCATGAGTATATATATTTAATGCATATATATATACATGTACATTAAAACAGTAATAATACCCGCAGCTCCTTGCTCAATGGTCGCCTTTGAATTTTTTTTCAAACACGGAAAAGGTTTCGATAACCTTTGTGAATGAGTCTAGCCTGGCATGCTGAGCTACGTTCCAGGCTTGGTCAGTGTTTGAAAAGCGGTCATTACACCACGTGAAGACTGTGACATGTTTGACTTGCCAAATGTCATGTTGTCCTACATCACGTGACTGGCATGATTAAGGCCAATGTACAACGGTTAAGACTTACTGAAGACGTGAAATTACAAGCATTTCCTGCAGGGGTGTATGTTGTGTTCCTATTCCAAATACAAGGCATTATCAACTCAAGCTATGTACAAAACATAGGATCATGAAAAATTGGCAAATATAAATACAATAAATAAATTACTATTAAATTAAATATTTTTCATTATGTTTATATAATATATTGTTTTAACTGCTTTACAGACTGAAACTTTAAATGTATTCATTCATAATGATTGATCAGGATGAAGTCAGATGGCTTGCTGCTATATATTATAGTTAACGGATGCAGTAGTCTTGTATAATCACAGCAATGACAGACGAGGACGTCCAGAAGACGTCCACTAAGGTATTCATGACATAACCTTAACGTCAGTTTAACATTTCATGTTCGAGTGCCATCCCCAAGTACACAACATGTTCACAGAGACACTATGCAAACAATAGGTAATGTTAAGGTCAATTACGTTGCCTTGATTCTGTGATGTCCCAACTTCATGTAAACTAGGGGTCACAGCGTCGCCCTGTCTCATCCCGTCACGTACACGTTTGCTGGGTCAACGTCGTCCGATGACCGTTAAATACGCTGACCCCTGAGTTCCCTCCTCACCGAGATGTTAGACTAGCCATTACCCGTGATGAAGCTGGTTAGCATAATGAACTGGGTAGGCCAACTTCGTGTAATTGCATACCGTGGTAGCTTCCATCAACATTCCAACAGCCGCAGTGTCTGAGTAGGTGGGTCGTAGGCTTGGGGACGTCATGCTGCAATGTCGCAAAGCAAAGGAGTTGCAGTCGTGTTTTGATGAGGTGATATTGTTAATACCTGGACATAGTTTGCATAGTGTGCAGTGCTCGCCACTGAGATACATATGCATGGAAACACTACATTAGTATAACGTGTGCTGGTACAATTTAATCTCAGTTGTAGTTGTTTGTTCTAACTTAATAGTGCTTGACAAGTGTACATTTGCTTGAAAATCGCATCAGTGCAAATTCTGCCAGAGAAATTGTTTATTGAATTAAGTTAACCGTGTTTGGTTCATGGATAAAGCACTTGTTCAACTTGGAGCGTGATGTTATATCGTTAGCAATTTTGCTTTTGTAACAGGCTCATTTCATCACAAGTGTGTATTTTTTTAAACCAAGAGTAAATGAAATATATAAACTTATGGAAACGAATAAGGGAACACATGAAAGTACAAGTGTTGCTTTATATATTTCCAGAATTTCACCCACAGTGCAATACATACCTTGTGAAGAAACCTGGAAAAGAATAAAGGAACACTTGTACTTTCATGTGTTCCCTTATTCGTTTCCATGAGTATAAACATGAACTCCTTGAAGACGCGAAAGTATTTCAAATATACTACCCATCAGAAGTTTAGACTCCCTTAAAGCACTTACTATATGTTATGTGTATATAGATATATGTGGTTACATCGAACATGAATTAGTCCACTATTTTTGGGGAACCAGCTGCAAACCTTATGCTGATGAAGTGCACGAGGACCATGCATCATATTGCTGAAAAACATGTGCAAATATCGTGCATGTGAACTACGTTTTGGTGTAAAGTTTTGTTAAGAATTCACCAACTCTCACTGTGTTTCATCATTTATTGACCTCATAACATTAATCTTTTTAACGTTACGAATTTGTTTTACAATGCATCAGTTCATGTGTAAACAGTAACTTTAAACAGTATGGAATATTTAGCAAAATCTAGATTAGAACAGCCACTGAAGTGAGTCTAAATTTTTGATGGGTAGTATATAAAGAGGATGATTGTGTACATCATATATACGTTGTTGTCCGACGTAAATATGCGACGCCCATTCTTGATGTCCTTGATCATTACAAAGCTATACCAGATGTTAACTAACCGCATCATCATTGAGACGGTTGGAACACTTAACTTTAAAACATAACCTTCTCCTCGGGGAAACCTGCACATGATCAGTCACGACAGAACACCAAAATATGACATTTAAACCATCGCGTTACTTTTGACATTTCCCTTTAAATTACAAACTAAATCCATGCAAAAGGTTTAAAGTGTTTACTCAGAAAACAAGCAGAAAGTGTTTTTAACATCAGCACACAAGTCATTTATCCAAGGCTTTATGTAATACCCATTCAGTCTGGCAGCTGGTGTGGCAATAATTAACTAACGTCTTCAAAACAGTTCACGTTGACAAAGGTACTGCTCTCCGGTGCTTCATTCGGAAACCAGACAGCTCAATGAAAGCCACCCCTGAAGATCCGGGTTAGAATTGGTCTTCAGAAACCCACGCTTGTTAGAGGCGGCTAACGGGTTCGGGTGTTCAAGCTCGCTGACTTGGTTGACACATATTCATGATGATGTTCAAGCTGTTGATCACTGGATTGCCATGTCCAGACACGATTATTTACAGACTGCCGCCATACAGCTGGAATATTGCGGTAATCAAAAAACAGTTCAAGCGCATACAGAAACCATTCGCTTTCCATTCCAATCAACCTGACACACATGGTTTAACTAAAATTCTATAAACAATCAAAAGACAAACCAAAACGCTTAATCCATTGCAAAAAAAGCTGGTTTATAAAAGAGATGGTTGTAATGTTAAGATTTAGCCTCAGTTTAATATATCTGTATGGAAATGTTAACAGTTAACTGCTAATTTGTTTTACAACTCCATTCACATGTCCCACTTTGTTCGACGCCTCGTTCATATGTCCGTCAGATGCTCCAGCATCAGCCGAAATACCACGTTGCACATAGTTTACCGTTATATAACAGGTGCGCGAGAGATCACGCTCATATAGAACACATCGACACGATGCCTGTACTATCTTCAGGACTGCTCAGACATGCCTGTGTTTTTAATACTAAAATACGGGGTAACATTTATCAGAAATATATGTACCCCCAAGGTGTTTGTCGATCTTTCAGCCAGAATGTCTACTATCATATATAAATATTGACACCCATGACATAACATCTTGGGAAATGAGTGAGTTTTAATATCGGCGTGTCAGCTACACCCTCGGCTTTTACCATTTCAAATATACACAGTACATTCAAGCATGTAAATTACTATTATGACACTTGCATTAATTACGGGAGACCCATTCGCAAAATCCATTTATGCTTAGAGACGATGAACGTGCAATTCTTTCCAACATAGGTTAAATGATCAACCCAGCAAGGGTTCTTTGTCATGTTGCCCTTTAGGTTTCTATGTCAAGGCTTGACACCTTGTTAAATAACGGGATAGACTTCGTCCTTAGCAACCCGTGATTGTCGCGTACTGAAATAGTCCGGGTTGTCAGGTACTATAACTGCTTGTGTGTTAGGGTGACCCGATGACGTGACATTGTGCCCAGATTGTATGACTCGTGCCCATGCTTTCAACCACTGGTTTCACTCTGTTCCATGTTGATATTGGTAAAAATGGCGTTGACAAACATTCACATAATGTTTGAAATGGACTTCATCATCCAAAACTGTGTTCTACTGGAGATATTGCTTGTGCAAGATCAAACGATATCTTCTCGGGGATATCGTTTTGACAGAATTTTGTACAATGCCCTGACATCAATTACATGACTGCAGTGTTGTGTCAAAACTTGATGACGTCACAATGCTATGACATCGCCGCTCTGCAAGTCTGATGGCAGTACCGTGTTCAGGGGTGTACATTTGTCATTGAAAACTAGTGAAGGGTGGTTTTTTATGATAAACAGAATCTCACCCTCGTGTCTTCTCATATCTTCTCATATCAATTATATCAACGCTCGTAGATAAAAGAAAACATGTCCTCGGCCTGCTTTGGATAAATGTAACTTTATCAATTCGTGTTGAAATAAATCATATGAGTAGACACTTGGCTGAGATTTTTATGTATCCTAAATTGGCACAGTATTGTATTGTTGGTTTTGTCTTGCAGCTCCACCAACAATGGCCTCTGTGTGTACTCCAACCAGGATCGCAACAGACCCGTCAACATTCCAAACCCTCAAGGTCAGTATCCCTCTCACCCTCGTTTACCCAGCCACAACTTGTATGTCATACCACCACTAAAACGAATATATTCATAAAATACGCGCAAGTCTCAGGCAAGTCTAGATTTGTTTCGGTCTGAAAATTAAATTAATGTCTGGGATCCTTTATATAAAGGCAATGTCAAAATTATGTATTGACCCTATTTGAATGTTTTATTTCAGCTGTGGTGTTCCAAATGTTCATCCAGAACAGGTACAAACTCAACAAGAAATACCGGAAATGGCTTGCCTTGTCACAGAACCCGGATGCTGCAGACCCAGGGATCAAGATCATGCTCAACCAGGCCAAGGTCAGTTAATGTTATGAAACAGATTATGAATTATATAGTCTTACGCGAAGAAAGCAAGTTTATGTACCCTTTTGACCCTTTCTACTCCCTCCCTGTTGCCCATCGAAAGCGACCCCTCAAACATTCAGGTAAAAATATACACTGAATCCAATTTCAGTGTGTGTCAAATAGCCACAGGCCCGCTAGCCCGTGGCTAGTGAAAATCCAGTCGGGCCAGTAAACCTCCGCAGTTTATGGGGTCATTTTGTAAATATATCACTTGTTAAGTTATAACACACTTTTAAATCATGCAAGATTATGGCCTTATAAAAAAGTTCATCATATTAGCAGCTTAATAATGAAACCCATGTCTACATTCGAATTTCGGGTTAGTGAATTATTCTCTGGGCTAGTAACTTTCAGGCATAGCTAGCCCGACTGGCTAGCAAAGTTTGGATACCATTTCGCACACTGAATCCAATACAGTTATGAATAACAACTTGTTATTTAAAGTGCATTCCTTGTCGTATTTAAAAAAATCAACCCCACTTCATATAGGCATTTCCCATTCTATAGAAATGCACAGGTGTAACGGTTTCTCGGGTAGTCAAATATGGACTGACAAACATTTCATGACAATATTTCGTTTTGTAATATTCGGAATCAATAACAGCAACATAATCAGTGGAATGTCTTCAATAAAATAAATATAACACAAGTGAGTGCAGTATGCAATCCAATCTTGACTGCAGTTGAAATGTGCATCCAACATGCTTGTTTCCTTAATATGCATGCACCCTATAAATATAGGATGTTATACATCATTCTCATCCTCCAAGGACATGTTGTCTCTACAACCTGTATCCGAGATGTAAGCATTCGGGTTTCTCCTGCCAAGAAATATTTTTTATCAAAGATATAGCACTTACCTTACCCAACCACATGTGGGGCTTTACCTGCCGACTTATGTCAATTGGCCCCATCCCTTCTTTCCATGTTTGTCTTTTGCTTATGATATCAAATAGTGTATATTTTTACTTGTTGTCTTTTACTCGAGTAGTATATCTTGTGTCAACATTTGAAATTCCGTGGTTATCTACGTGCAGTTTTCAAACATTCCCAGCAGCTCCGAATTCATATCTAAATCTTTAGTTTCAATGTGCATATAGTCGCACAAGGCGTGGCAGTTTCCTGCTTGGTATATCGACTGTCACAATCCAAAAGATGAATGTGCTTGTTATCCCCTATAAAAATGAGTTATCTCCCCTTTGATGCACAAGGAAGTTTACGTGTTATGCCCCTCTGTGCCACGATGACCATTGTGCTGCTGTTCACCGTAGTGTCGCAGGGATACTACCATCTGCAGCATATAACAAATCCGAACAAATTATGCACAATTAACCATCACATGCATGTGGGCTCATATTGACAAGTTATCTCCCCCTTGTCCTATGTACAGATGGCGGCGGAAGCGGAGAACAAAGACAATGAGGCGGAACAGAAGCGACAGCATGGGAAGAGGGTGCGATATGGCGAGATTGTACAGGTCAGTTACTCGCTATATGTATCACAAAACACAAAAATTATGTATATATCTCCCGTTTCTTTGGTGACCCACAATACAGTTACGTTTTCTTTTGGTTGTCATTGTAAATAGAAAACAAATCCAGCAAATGTTTTTCAAGAAACTGTAACTACAAAGCTAGAGCCTTGACACCTGGTGTTCATTAAAGAAGGATATGCTCTTCCAGGAAGGGCGGTGCGGTAGCGTAGTGGTTAAAGCGTTCACTCGTCACGCCGAAGACCCGGGTTCGATTCCCCACATGGGCACAATGTGTGAAGCTCATTGCTGGTGGACCCCGCCGTGATATTGCTGGAATATTCATAACAGCGGCATAAAACCATACTCATTCACTCACTCCACCAGATTAAAGGTAACACCAAACTATGCTGTGATGATGAATGAAACGTCAAGATGTGATTCGACCGATTTGAGAATATCTGTTTGATATAATAAATATTCTTTTTTAAAAATTAATTATGTTTATTTCGGTTTCTTTCAGCTTAAGCACACATTCTCTGGGAAGTTTGTTCACATGAGCACAACGCACACCAGTATGAAGGACAAGAACAACATGAAGGTAATCACTCGCTTCCTGAACTGCCACGCCCATTTCCTCAAATACCATGCCAGGTTTCTTACGCAGATTATCACACGCACAGGTTAAACATTCGTTTAACTATTTCTGTACGTATTTCCAAAAGGTAAGCAAACAAACGAAGTTTCTTCTCTGTTACACAACAAAGACTGTTAATGTGTCTGGAGACCTTTCAATTGAATGATAAACTGTCTTCAGTCCTTTCAGCGGCTAGATTAATTCAACCGAACGGGGATGTGTGCAGTACCAAAAATCTGCACTCATTGATAAAAGCGCTTCACCGTGAAAGGAATCATTGGTAAAAGCGCCTCACCATGAAGGGAATGATTGATAACGTTTCCCACGTGTTTACCCCAGTGTATTTGTTCTCAGGCTATCATCTGCCCATCATATACATCTATTAGTATGATATATACAACGTTCTATCTCTTCCAGGTATCCATGCACGAATTCAATGCAAAGAACGCTCAATTCCGTATACTTCCGCGGTATAAAGTGAAGTCGGAAGGCGAAGTGGTACGTATCCTGTAGAACCAGTCAGTCTTAATAAACAGTGTATAGGTGGAGCCACCCGAGACAGGTCGGCCATTATAGTTGTGAACTCTCGCCTGCATAGGTTTCACATTTGACCCAATAGCTATGAACAAGGTGCTCACAGACAAGGCGTAGTCTAGTTTCAATTCACGGGGGGTACCAGTGATTTCCATTTTAAGTGTTTAAATCACAGTTACGGGTAAATGACTCGAGATTGTATAGTATCGCTATTGGTTCTTTGATCACGGGAAGTTACCGAGGTTTTAATTTAGATTAATATGTAGTGTTGATTTGATGGCGCTAAACGTCCTGTAAAAAGGAAACCCGCAGCATGAGGGTTTCAAACAGAGCCTGAAGTCTTTAGTGACTCTGGGGAATGTCATGCTTCTGTGGAATTTACAGGTGTTTCTAAGATGAAATGGACGTATCAAACTATAAGAAAAGTTGTAGCAAGCGATCCTCAAAGCTGTGGTTTCTGATCTGAAAGCATTATCGACCATTTTCCAGAAAATAACTTCGTTGTCAAGTTCATGGGTCCCAGAAGAAGTGAAGTTGGTTCTTCAATGATGGGGCACTGTCATTATTTAACATTTATTTGGGAACCCAGTTCACATGGATGATACACATATTTATCCGTTACCGTTTACGTTTGGCCTGTTAGATCTAAACCATAGCTTAGTATTGATACGAAGGAATTAGTCTTGAGTTACATATTAGATTTATCAGTCACAAGTACACACGCTATCGCTAGATCCATCAAATATGGTTTACGGAACGTTGCCCACAAGGTACTTTGCCCACAGGATCTCTGCCCACCACACTTTGTACAGGCGAGGAACTTTGCCCACAATATCAATATTTTGCCCACCACTATAATACAACATTATAATATGTATATCTCATTTTATTTAAATACACAGAAACAGCATATAATATAGCACATTGATAGTCAAAAATGAATAGCACTTTAATAGTTTCAGTTCAGTCTAATACATGTAAATAGCATACACATTCTGTGATTTTGCATTTAGGAAGGCATATACAAATGCTATGTAAGTTTTTCCAGCAGAGAAGCTTTGGTGAAGTGCAACTAAAGTGTGATCAATTTTAAACTATAACAGGTATCAAAAGAAATTACTCTTTGATTTGTCCCATGTGAAAATAAATGTCTTTGTGATAGGCAAAATTTATATTGTGGGCAAAGGTCCTCCCCTGTAAAAATTGTGGTGGGCCAAAGTTCCCGAATTCATCAAACATGGCTCTGCCAAACCCTGACCCCAATTTCTGTTCATTCTTATTGTGTCACTCGGCAAACCTGGCCACTGCCCACTTCTTCGTTAAGAGCCAATTTCAAGGCCACTGAGTGTTTGGCCGCTGGGTCAGGTGTCTGACGGGTTTGACCGCCGGGTCAGGTGTCTGACGGGTGGGGCTGCCGGAGCGCTGCAGGAAGCGCCAATGAGAGGTATACTTTCCACCTGACGGGCCTTCCCCATGATCTCCTCATTATGCGCACCAACATAGTTCCCATCACAGTGAGAAACACATGTTCTAGTTTCCAGACGGTCATACATGCAAAACCCAGCTGACTCTCGCAGAGACTACACATATACTCTTGACCTACAGAAATACTCGCAGAATTAAGACGTTTCCTTTCGTGTGTGTCTGATGGAAAATTTATAATAAAAACGACTTGTAGGTACATATTATCAAAATTATGAAGGTGATGTCGCCAAACACAACCGAGTATTCAATCATTCACAGACAATGAACGCTTTCCTTACTTAAGAACAACCATATGTCACGTGTTTCATGAAATCCACGTGCAGCAAATATAAAGAGCGTTCTCCGTTTCACACTTTACATGGAATGCCTATATTTAGCATATATACCGTATCAAAAAACAATTTCCTGAAGATCCATTAATCAGGAGACATCCCTTCATGGCGATCTTGTGAGAACCGCGTATACTAATTCTTTGATATCTCAAAAATGTATCATGGCAGATCAACTTTAGACGAGTGAGTAAACACACATACGCACGCACGCACGCGCTCACACACACATCTTATTCGCCATGTCAGTACGGAAAATACCGTCCTTAAATTTTGGGAGAGCGGAAGGTCGCGGGTCCGATGCCCGACCGCGTCATACCAAAAGACGTTAACATATGGTACTTGTTGGTCCCTGCCTGGCGCTCGGCATTAATGGGTACAACAAGGACTGGTCGGTTCGAGTCTATATACTGTGTCTGAGTGGGGTAGTCATGCTTAACGGCGGCATGGTATCTCAGTGGGCTAGCACTATAAAACCAGCTTAAGTCTGGGCTAGTACAAGCAGCCGCACATACACACGCATGCACGTCGTCATATGAGCGAAATATTCTCAAGCACGACGTTAAACCCAATTTCACCTCACCTTAAATTTTGCTTATGCTGTTACCAGGTCCAGCTGTATGACCAGATCGTGTTTGAGAGTGTCAAGTCTCCAGGCCACTACTTCCATACCAGCGACCCGTTCCAGATCGACAACTTCTCATGCGGGTACGTTCATCTATACAACAGGCCCTCCTGCCTTGGCGAGGATTATAGATTTAAAAAATACATTTTTGAGATGATCATGATTTATTGTACTGTGAAGCATTTAAAGTAGGGGGTCATCTCAAAGAGGAACACTTTTTATGCATAGGAAGCTTCTTCATTGCAATAGATGCGGATTTCGGTGTAGATCCTAACACTGTTATCAAGAAAATGATACACAACATCTGCAACAAGGAGAAATATATTCATGAAGGGTATTAAGTTTATACAAACATATTTCATCAGTTTAATCAAGAGAGTCACGTTTAGTTCCCAAATAGCATATTTCGATACTTTAATTCTAGTTAGTTTAGTTTTCAATTCCACTGCGCAACACAAACAGAGGCAATTAACATCAAGGGGCGGTGGGGTAGCCTAATGGTTAAAGCGTTGGCTCGTCACGCTGAAAACCCGGGTTCGAAACCCCACATGGGTACAATGTGTGAAGCCCATTTCTGGTGTCCCCCGCCGTGATGTTGCTGGAATATTGCTAAAAGCGGCGTAAAGCCAAACTCAGTCAGTCAGCAATTAACATCAAACAACTCAACCCGACAATCAAGAGATCAAGGTTATTACATCCCTACAGCTTATGATCAACTAATCAAGGTCAATCAAGAATAACCCACCCTTTGTCCATCTGGTTTCAATCATATCTATAATCCCAACAAGCCTAATTATGTCAACATACTGTACATCAACCTCTCCAATTGTCAAAACTTGATACCCTTCACCTCACCTATTTCACCTTCTTGCATACGTTAACGTTGTGTATCATTTGCTTGATAACGGTAGAAGGATCTGCACCGAAACGTCACATCCACTGCAATAAAGAAACTCTATCCATAAAGAGTGTTCCTCGTCAGCTAACCAGCTTCTAAATCCTACTTAAAAAGATCATCTCAAAATTACTTTTTTCAAATCCTTAATCCTTGCAAATACACGAAAGCCTGTGATCTGTACAGTCACCGTGTTCGGACCATCTGATGTCATTTGTATTTTGCTATCCCTTTCAGTTGTAGGTTTATTCTTCACGTTTAATATGACCGCCTCCGTGGTGTAGTGGTTAGAGCGTCCGCCCGGAGAGCGGAAGGTCGCGGGTTCGATCCCCGACCGCGTCATATCAAAAGACGTTAAAATATGGTACTTGTTGGTCCCTGCCTGGCGCTCGGCATTAATGGGTACAACAAGGACTATACGGCTCTGAGTCATTATAATGTGTCTGAGTGGGGTAATCATGCTTCACTGCGGCATGGTATCTCAGTGGGCTAGCACTAGTCTGGGCTAGTACAAGCAGCCGCACTTACACACGCATGCACGTCGTCATATGAGCGAAATATTCTCAAGCACGACGTTAAACCCAATTTCACCTCACCTTAAATTTTGCTTGTGCTGTTACCAGGTCCAGCTGTACGACCAGATCGTGTTTGAGAGTGTCAAGTCTCCAGGCCACTACTTCCATACCAGCGACCCGTTCCAGATCGACAACTTCTCATGCGGGTACGTTCATCTATACAACAGGCCCTCCTGCCTTTGCGAGGATTATAGATTTAAAAAACACATTTTTGAGATGATCATGATTTATTGTACTGTGAAGCATTTAAAGTAAGGGGTCATCTCAAAGAGGAACACGTTTAATGCACAGACAGCTTCTTTATTGCAATAGATGCGGATTTCGGTGTAGATCCTAACACCGTTATCAAGAAAATGATACACAACATCTGCAACAAGGAGAAATATATTCATGAAGGGTATTAAGTTTATACAAACTGGTCTGAAGACAAAACAGCTGGAACAGATCGCGTAAACGCACCATGCTTCGTGGCTCACCGAGAAGCATGACTTTTCACGTGCAGTCAGACCACGTGTTCTCGACCACGTGGGAAACGGTCGAATCGGTCAGTTGTGTACAGGTTATGCTTGGGTTAAGACGTAATTGAGTTAAGACGTCAGTTGAGTTCAGGTTTCCCTTTAGTTCGGTCGTTTCTTGAGTTGGGTGACAGCTCGTCAAAATAGGATTTAGATAGACTGATATAAAGAATGTATTAGTGCATCGAAATAGAGGTTCCATAGAGCTAGCTGCTATAGAGCTAGATAATGTAAATAGTAGACTTACGCTGCAATAGAGCCAGATAGTGTAGATAATAGAATTTAAGGTATCACATTAAGTTTCTTGCCTCATTAGCATTTGTTATAAGAGATTCACGTTTAGTTCCCCATTACAAACAGAGGCAATTAACATCAAGGGGCGGTGGGGTAGCCTAATGGTTAAAGCGTTGGCTCGTCACGCCGAAAACCCGGGTTAGATTCCCCACATGGGTACAATGTGTGAAGCCCATTTCTGGTGTCCCCCGTCGTGATGTTGCTGGAATATTGCTAAAAGCGGCGTAAAGCCAAACTCAGTCAGTCAGCAATTAACATCAAACGACTCAACCCGACAATCAAGAGATCAAGGTTATTACATCCCTACAGCTTATGATCAACTAATCAAGGTCAATCAAGAATAACCCACCCTTTGTCCATCTGGCTTCAATCATCTCTATAATCCCAACAAGCCTAATTATGTCAACATACTGTACATCAACCTCTCTAATTGTCAAAACTTGATACCCTTCACCTCACCTATTTCACCTTCTTGCATACGTTGTGTATCATTTGCTTGATGACGGTGGAAGGATCTGCACCGAAACGTCACATCCACTGCAATAAAGAAACTGTCTATCCGTAAAGAGTGTTCGTCTTCATCTAACCAGCTTCTAAATCCTACTTTAAAAAAATCATCTCAAAATTATTTTTTTTAAATCCTTAATCCTTGCAAATACACGAAGGCCTGTGATCTGTACAGTCACCATGTTCGGAAGATCTGATGTCATTTGTATTTTCCTATCCCTTTCAGTTGTAGGTTTATTCTTCATTTCCTATGACCGCCTCCGTGGTGTAGTGGTTAGAGCGTCCGCCCGGCGAGCAGAAGGTCGCGGGTTCGGTCCCCGACCGCGTCATACCAAAAGACGTTAAAATATGGTACTTGTTGGTCCCTGTCTGGCGCTCGGCATTAATGGGTACAACAAGGACTGGTCGGCTCGGAGTCAGTATAATGTGTCTGAGTGGGGTATTTATGCTTCACTGCGGCATGGTATCTCAGTGGGCTAGCACTATAAAACCAGCTTCAGTCTGGGCTAGTACAAGCAGCCGCACATACACATACACACGCATGCACGTCGTCATATGAGCGAAAAATTCTCAAGCACGACGTTTAACCCAATTTCACCTCACCTTCGTTTAATATGGGACAACTAAGCGAAACCTCAAGTAATATATACAAATAATACCAAGTTTAACAGAGTAAAAAGATAAACGAATTCTAGTTTCGAGTGCGTCCATCTGATTATCTCCTCCCTAATCAGTCGCTTTTCAATCAACACACAATAGCAACAACATGTTAACGTCACCTGGTGGGAACGCTGACTGGGACTGTACATTGTCTACGTTATCTAGCAACATGGTGCTCGTACCATTCACAGCAACACACCTACCACAGGAGGAATGTGTAATTTAGTTACCATCCGTCGTATAATTAAATCTTATTCAAATAGTAACTACACATTGCTTCTGTTATTGGAGGTAGGGTTTGTTGCAAAACAAGTACTTAATTCTTCTTAAAAAACACAGGTGTTAAAAAGGCACTCCATACTAGTGAGGTAAACAAGGTTATAACCAACATGAAAGGTAGAGGATGAAAGGGGTTTAAATGAGGTTTTAGAGTGATCGGTTGAGCCTGCTTCAGAGAGCGTCTCAAAACAAGTATACTTGTTTACGTTCTCACGTAGCATGTACTATGTTTAATGCAAGAATGTTTTCAAAATCTACACATGCCTTGCTATAGTGGCCTGTAAACTAGATACGGTATATAAATGGTTGTATATGGCATCCATGAGAATGTAACAAAAGCTTGAAGCTTCCTCACTCAGAGACAAGTGGAGGATCATACAGGGACTTAACCAATAACACTGAAACATGCCAGGACACGCCCACCTTTAAACAACGCTACAATAGGTTGAAGCAGAATCACCCGCTCATGTTCAGGAGCTGCATCCTTTACGGTTGCTTAGAGACATTCATGTTGGAAAGTCCTGAATTATTTTCACGGTCGAATCCGTTGGCCGAAGGTGATAAAAAAGAATTATTAAAATTACTTAAAGGAGCTGGTTGTGAAGTTTGAGTGGAGTCAATTCAGTGGAAAAAACAGATCTCAGGTGCTAGGAAGTCAGTGGAGAGAAAAGCGAACTGCTTGGTTCATCGGGCAGTCATCGTCCGTGAAATGAATGACGGAAACTGGCATTGATTTGGGGATTAATGACACGAAAGGGAACGTCTCTTTTTGGACAAATTACCTCCTGACTGCAACACTATCACATCGACACGACGTTTTCATGGCAGTGAACATCATCGTATACTTGCAGCTTTGGGTTCATGTAAGCGATTTGAAAAGCGAAGATGGGTCATTTTTATCAGTTGTAGAATACAGGATGGGACATGTGAAACAGGTTTCAAACAATAGCAAAAGGAATTACAAAATTGTGATGGTCTGCATCTACGCTTAATGTAGGACGCACGCACGCACGCACGCTCTCAAACCTATACATATATACGATAGAAATACAAACTAGGTACATGGCCGTCTTCAATATACAGATCGATTTCATTGCCCACTCATTACAGAGGGGACAAAGAGAATATATAGAGCATGTAGGCGGCTGAAAGTCATGTAAACACTGAATGTTCCAACAAACGCGGGCGAATGTACTAAGAAGATAAAACAAAATAGCTGTGGAGTTGGTGTAGCTGTTATCACAAATACAACGTCCATCCGATAATCAAAGAATTCTATTATATGCACATTAAAGCGTATATTTTGACTACCTCGAAAACGTTTGAATACTCCACCCTCACAGATTCCAATGATTAGTTTAAAGACGATATAATACTTCTAATGTTTTGTTTTTGCGCTGAATGTATCCCCAAAATACACCGTGGAATTCCCAAACACGGATCTCAATGATCTCTTTATACTCTCAGATCGCAACTCCCTGCACCCACATGCACTGTAGCAGAGCTCGCGACCCTAAACCATCCACAACATTCTGGTACATTCCTTAGATGTCCTCCTTTAAATGATGATCTCATTTACTAGGTGTTAACTACGGACATGTGTTGATACGGAGGGTCATCTAACACTGTGTTCAGCCCGGTACGAGGCCTTCCGTGTTTACCTCACTCCACCGTCATGGTAACTTATGGCGTGGGTGTTTTCACGGTCGTTGGCGTTAAATCTCTCCACCTCTTGCTTTCGCTCCGCCACCCCCGGCTAGGGATTATACGTATATTTATCCTCCCACTCACCCTCGCAGACCTTGGCTCACCCCTCAACCTTGTACCATACCGTGAAGCACACCTGTTGCGTCAAATGAGATTTGACGAGAGAGATAGTAACGTTCCAACCCACCGCTACAGTGCACTTTGTCATTAAAATGTGGTTTGTGAAGCTGGGTTTGAAGTAAGGCATAGGTGCGATATGTTTTCCAGTGATAAATACTCGAACTGCTCATTTCAAGGTACATATTTGTTGAAAGATGAAAACACCGTTGATGTAGTTTTCGTATTGAGCCAATAAAGCTAATCTGTCTGAAACAGAAACGTTTTATGAAAAGACATAAAGGGGGTATAAAAATACCAATCACTTTCACAGGTTATGTCTCGATACACGTGTTAAAAGATAGATTCGTCTAATTTGTAGTAGCCACCTGAAGTTTAGGTATTAACATGTTAAGAAAATTTAATAGCCTACTTGATTCACAATAAGGGACATTTATAAAGCGCTTGTATCCACGGGGGTGTGCATGCTCAAAGCGCTTGTATCCACGGGGGTGTGCATGCTCAAAGCGCTTGTATCCACGGGGGTGTGCATGCTCAAAGCGCTTGTATCCACGGGGGTGTGCATGCTCAAAGCGCTTGTATCCACGGGGGTGTGCATGCTCAAAACGCTTGTATCCACGGGGGTGTGCATGCTCAAAGCGCTAATACACTATATAGTAATAGCAGTACAGAGTCGCATCTCTTGTGCGTGCCGGAAATGTGTGACATTTTGTTCGGATCCCAGATGCAGCTTTTCCCCCAACATAGTACTGATACTTTGATATAACCGAAATACTGTCGAAAGCGGCCTGAAATATAAACCACTCACTCGCCCACGCGAACTTTCACAAATATATCACGCGTGCCGTTTAAAGATCATTGGTGCAAGAACGCGACACTGATTTAAAAAACATTGTCTGACACCAGAAACTGATTCTTGTTTAAATTTCCCTAAAGTAAACTTGAACGTGCTCCGCTGGAGAATATATTTCCTCTTTTGTTTGAGCACGTACATTTGCACCCCCTCACCTCAACACTCGTGACCTATATCCTCAGCAATTTAGGTATTACCAAAGTGACATGAAATTATCTCGCTTGGCAACCGGCTTCCTGTCTAAAGTCGGAACCTGACACGCATGCGCTCTGTTGGCGTCCGACATTCCACTTAGGCTTTACCACTATCCATCACAGAAAATTGGAAACTCATGTTTCATCTCACAAGAGTATTGGGAAAATCTTGCTATTATGCATTTGTGTTTGCTGGACAAACAATTACATGTCAGAGCATTGTTTGATATTCAAATACAAATTCTTATCATTTTTATTTGCCCCACGTTCAGCATAGATTTATCTGCAGCATGCATACAAATAACGCTGTTTCTTTGTTCATCATATTTACCTTTCTACAGTGGCATCAAGCAATCTATAACAAATTGCACAGTTATCTGCCCTTTGTGATCTACCTTCGTCGAAGAGTTTTGCTTCATGCCTTCAATCTAACTATTGGTGACCTTCCCCCAATCAGTAACAATGTTTCATTCCAACGCGCAACCTTGCCGGTTATCTGCCCTTTTTGACCTTCCCTCAAACAGAAATTATGTTTCGGGGCAAGACGCAGCCGGTTATGCGTCAATTCCAGCAAAGGAGTTGTCCGTATTTTACCTGACTGATCACCAACCAGTTTCACCATGGATATATTTAGGATATAAACATGCTGTGTTTTCAAAAACAGCTACGTTTCTTGTAGATTTAATCGCGCTGAATATAATTGGGACCGAACATAGTGTAACGTTACAAAAAATATTAAATAAACTCGTAAACGTTAACACTGCAGAAAAAATATTAATTTGACATTAGAAATTCTCTGAAAGCTTTGCTTCACAGTCTGGGTAATCACCCAGTGGCCCCTGTTCTGTAAACCTTTTAAAGCACTCACGTTATTGGAGGTCTATATTATAGAGGTTACAGCTGTCCTTACGTCGCTTTGACGAATAGATCCTGACCCGCTTTTTGCATCATTCGAAGTAGTACCCTACTTTTTTCGTCTCTACAATATCTCCTACCCAGCTTGTTCACCTGCTCCCCTCTCCCCACCCTTCCGCGTGGTGGCAACCAACACGTGGTGCCTGCGCAAAATGCATACAATCTCCCTACACCGTAAAAGTTCACCTCGGCAAGTTCAGAGCTTGATGTCTTCATCCAGAACACGTGGCGTATAATATCACCTTCGATATGAATAGTAATAGGTTCAAGGTGTCCCACAGAAATATAGTTGTCTTTGATCGCCTGGTTCTCGGTGGGGAAAGATAGAGTTACGAGTGAACCCTAGACCACGAAATACGGCTAGCTCAGAATAGTTCATTGTTGGTAGCATGGCCCCAGCAGAGCAGCCGTGTGTTCTATTGCGAAAGGTTTAGTTTATTTCCCTTCTTCACAAATAGACACAGCATTGTAGTTTGGAACAATATCAAGGACAAGGTCGAGACAATAAACAACAAATAAGCTTTGCAATAAACACACATCACGAGATGCAAATGGGAAAATGCATAGATTTCGCAATGGACTTTTTGCGTCTTATAGCAGTTTCTCTCACTTCTACAAGTATATAATTTTATTCTTTAAAGTGTTTGCAAGATTAAAACCCATCAGATTCTTGAGGGTTGAACCATCATAGGCAGTTTTGTCACCTTCTATTAGTCACCATCTTTGACTTTAATCATCGCGTACTATAGAGTTCTGAGATATTAACTTTACGACTCAGTTGGGAGCCTCCGAAAATGATATTTTGTTTTCATAAATGAAACGTTATTCGGTACCCAATCGATGTAACTGAAATCATTATATGAAGCCTTTGTTTGCAGGTCCGAGTTAAATCTTGGCGTAGAGAGATCGAGTTTTACACTCATAGGAAGTATGCGAGAAACTCTGGAATTGGACAAGTTTGTCAGGGTGGGTGTTTTAACTTTGTCTTTTGAATTAATAAATGATCACGTTCTAATCCCTGTTAACCCACATTTTCAGCTGTCTTTCCGAGACAGTGCCGATTTCTCTGTCTGCTCACATTGCTACTATTTCATCTTTACAGGGTGGATCAGTGATTCGATTATTCCACAAAGAGCTGGAGGCGTATCTGGTCGCCGAGGGCCTGTTTGACGAGGTTGTCACGGAAGATGGTAGGAGACACTGCAAAATTTAACAACTTACATTTAACTTGATCCGCATCCGTTTATTGATCTTCTCTGAATACAGAAAACACATATGACTGGGGAAGTGAAAATGTACACTGTTTATATATATTTTTCAGTCCATTTCCGGGTACGTGCAATCGACCAGCATCGTCCCAAGTCCTTGTCTCCATCAACTTCCGGTATCACCTATTGGCAGATCGAGGCTGAACACAGTATTCTTGATGGTGAGACAGACTGGTTTTCATTTCACATAACAGTAAACATACGGTTATGGTTAAGCATAATGTGACCTATAGGTGGAATAAAAAAAATATTGATAACATCAACATTTCGTTACGTTTCTAGGTGACGTACTGCGCTGGGAACAACAGATTCGCCTACGTCACATGTTGACGCGACAGTATTTGTGTATTGACTCCAGGTCAGAGGTCAGCCTCTGTCCCGACCCTTCTGATCCAAGGACGGTATTCCGGCTGCACTCTGTTCTCAAGGTAGGTCGAGTTCGATTCTCTACATGGATTTAGGGGTTCACTCTCTGTACCCCTCGCTGTGCAGGAATATCATTACTATTCACGATTCAACAATTCACTATTCCACTCCTTAGAATCATTGTATGATATTGTTAACGATTGTATTATGCTGTACTATGTGTATCAGTGTGTGATACCGGCGATAGTGTACGATACTGAACATCGTATTTGATATTTATATTATTGAAACCAAGTGTATGATGTTTATTTTCAGGAGCGGGATGAGATCCAGTTCGAGAGCTACGCCCGTATCGAACATATGTTGACAGGATGCTGGTTGCATGCACTCAAAGGTTCCATTCATTCTCATCCCGTCCACAGTCAGTTTATGTTTTCGTGTTTAAGTCATGCTGGTGTCGGATGCACGGGCTAGGTAACACCGAGATGTCCTACATCTCGCAGGCCAATCCAACCGTAGTCTTATATCCAGACATAGACAGTATACTCCTATACCTGTACCCATATCTCGAAGACTGAGTCATTCCTCAACTATAGTGGCTAAGCATGATAATTCTGTCATATACCATGTTTAGTTTACTTACTTTATTATCAGAGTTGATTATCATCTAGAAGCCTGTAGACCTGTGAAGATCCGGGTTAGAATTGGTCTTCTGTAACCCATGCTTGTCGCAAGAGGCGACCAACGGGATCGGGTGGTCAGGCTCGCTGACTTGACACATGTCATCGTATCCCAGTTGCGTAGATCGATGCTCATGCTGTTGATCACTGGGTTGTCTGGTCCAGAGTCGATTATTTACAGACCGCCGCCATATAGCTGGAATACTGAGTGCGGCGTAAAACTAAACTCACTCACTAGTACCCAGTGTGGTCTATAATTAGTCAGTATTAGTGTTAGTATACTCTTCTATATTCTAGTATATCTAATATACCTCTCCCTTTCTGTCAGTTCTACTATACCTTTTGCCTAGTTGACACACTTGTACGTAACTGTACATTATCCTACTATTTACCATATATATCATTATTATTCTGTTCTCTCACAATCGTGCTTGAGACTTCTATATGTCACTACATACCTTTACTATTTTTAACTTAATTCCAGTTCACAGCATGTTCTACAGCCTAATTAATATTAATTGTTATCATCCGTCGAATATTCAATGTATTTAATTCTATTCCATTACGAGCTAGCAGGTAATGAAAGGGATTAAAAATCTATTGAAATAGAATGGAAGTAAAAAACACTCGAGGATGGAGGATGTAGCCAAAGTTTCTATTTACATTTGTTTATATACCAATTTGTCTTCACATCGATGCAGAGCGTGAGTCATCGTATAGGTTTATATATTTGTCGAGAAAACACCAAAACCTGTCCTCAGTGAGCTCCACTACCCTCTCCTTGTTAGCGGGTCACATGTTAATATTTGTGCATGTAATGTTCTCTGTTCAGATGAAGACTATCAGAAACACCAATACCAGGACGGCGACAATGAGCGATCCATGCAAGGTCTACGCTGGGACGGTGCCGCGGTCAGAAAGGTAGATTTTACGGCGCTTTTTGTAATGTAATAAGTGTTTTGTTGTTAGTGAGAAGTGAAAACTTTCACGTTGACATCCTTCACTGTACATTTGTCACATTTAGTTTCTTCTCTGCTTACAGGTGTCTGCCAGCAACGAAAGCGTTTACGACGACGCCTACACCATACAGAGGGTGGAGAAGGTGGACGTCAGCAACTTCAACTACGTTGCCGGCATGGTGCCCTTCCTCTTCAACCTGATACAGGACGTGCGTACAACAACCCATAGTCCATTACGTACTCACATTTGTACTTTAACATACAAAGACCGATTTTGTAGATGATGGTTATACGGTAATAATTATATACATCCAAAATGGAAATAGCATCATTTGTCAGTAACTGCCTACATTAACAATCGCCATGCAATATCTGGTTTTCGAGAAATGATCGGCAATGTGCTGTTTTACACGTATCTGTTACCTTATCGTTGTAGCGTCGGAGTGCAGCACCATTGAATGCAAGGAAGACTCATGGGATACTTATGGTGCGTATATACATTCAGGATAATATATTTTATAATCTGTTGGCCCTAAATTAAGTTCAAGATTTCAAGATCTTCCAACGTAAACAAGATTCACTCGATCTCCAGTACAAGATCATCTTGTTTTCCAGGCTCTGAGGGAGGTGAAGGACTTCATGTTGCCTCACAACAAACCAGACAAAGACAGACAGAAACTCATGCGGAACTTACGGGTAAGACAATTCAGGCTATGCTCCAATACATGTACTTGTGGCACATGCTGCTGGACTGATGGTGTGGTCAGCCAACTTGACTTTGCATGTCACAGTGACCTCATTGGAAGCTTCGCAATTGCGTAGATCGATGTCCATGCTGTTGATCACTGGATTGTCTGGTCCAGACTGGATTATTTACAGACCGCGGCCATATAGCCTGAATATTGTTGTGTGGCGTAAAACTAAACTCACTCACTCACTCATTGTAAGCTGCTCAGTCTCTGCTTTGTCGAATGTGTATAATCTGTCGTGATACATCAACTTGAAAATTTATGGATGTCAAATTCTTGTTATGAGGAGCATGACCTTTCGGAGTTCGCAGCATAAAGTCTCACTGTTCGTCCACTCCTTCTATGCAGGTGATCGACCTGCTGGTGAAGCTGCTCCAGTGCCCACTGAGAGACGGGGATGAGGAGGCTCATCTCATCAGGGTCTTCAAGGAGGCCTACGACGTCCTCCACGCCTACATGATCGGCAAGAGCAGGAAGAACGCCCTCTACTTCGCAAAATACATCGACTTCTTCCAGACACAGTTCACCCAGAAGGTACCACTGCCTTTCATTAGTTTCATAATGTAAGGAAAGAACTCCTTGCTTAGAGATATTCCATTTTGACCCGTTTTGTCGGTAGCCGAATATGTTTCCCTTTTTTCTGCCTGACGAAAGTACCCGGAAAAGTATCTGAAAGTGTTTTGTTTTACGTATGAAATTTCAAATATGTTTCTCTATAACATTCTCTCAAATTTCCAGGGTGGTATTGGTCTAAACGTGGCCTCTATGATTGTCGAGTTGATCCGGGACAAACGGAAGATTGTGGATAGGATCACCAACAACCACATCGACATCTTCATTCAACTGCTCAGGTCAAACCAGGTAAGGCCAATCATGACAACTATCACTCCCCTCCCAAATCAAGCTGGCATCACCGAAATACCCTCTAAAAACATGCGACAAACATCTCCCTGACTGTATGGAACTGTCCTACTTCCAGAACTACCGGTTCCTGGACCTCCTGCAGGTGCTGTGTGTCTGCGACTGCGTGGCGATCCCCAACAACCAGAGCTACATCGTGCAGCAGTGGCTGCGGTCCTACAAGGTCAGTCTCCAGAGTGACCACTCACACTTGTCATATGGTGTATCAGTCTTGGAACTGTACTGAACTGTTGGAATTTATTTAATTCATCCCTGAGTATTTCATGAATAATTTGTTCTATCGAGAAAAAGTCTGACGGTCTCTTACATATTCCAGAAACTGGAGCAACATATACTATAACTTCATGGAACCCTGAAATCCTTTCAACAAAGTATGGTGTACTCAACATTATTGAAAAAGTAATCTTGCTCTTTCATGGAACTTGTAAACACCAGTCACCAATTACGAATGGCTTACACATTATTTGCTTTTTAATTAAAACCAAATCAATTTCGTTTACATTCTGTAATCTTGTCGATATGATATTACAGGACAGCGTTTACTTAATGGACCGTGGACAGAACATCAACAAGAAGCCGAACATCGTCTACATCTCTGTTGACAGCGGGTCCCACTGGGTGGCGCTGCATCACTTTGTTGACGTGAGTCTAGCCTTGCAGGACAATGCATGGATTACGTGAACATACACCACTCCATTACCATCAACTCGGGTCTATATTTGTTTACATACGATTTCGTGACGATCTATCATCTGATGCTTTCCACTTGTGTACAGATTATAACTATTGTTAGCGTATTGATTACATCTTAGAATACTGATTACTGTCAGAGTGATCGTGTATGTGGAATTCACCATGTGCATATTGTTAAGGCAAACTTGTCTTGAATTACTTTCTTGACGATGACGACTGCAAAACGCTGGTATCAGTGGATTGGTGGCTACATATGTCAACTCTGTTTATAGCGTTCAAAGACTGTATGTTAAGGTCTGTATTTTAGTATGTTTTTAACATCATATCGGTGCTCGGACTGTCAACCACTACCAGAATAATTCATTTAGTAATTAATTTTATTAACTTGTAGCATGTCCTGCACGTCATCCATTGGGCGTGAACTAAAATGCTATGTTTTACTGTTTCCAGCCCAACAGTACTGAATATGATGAAGAGAAGTATCAGTTCCTGCTGCATCAACTCGAGCTCTTTGAGGCGTTCTGCTTTGTGAGTAGTCTTTATCTGTAGCACTCTTCTAGTGTGTGCATCACATCAAGGATTTCACGGGGCGGTGGGGTAGCCTAGTGGTTAAAGTGTCCACTCATCGCGCTGAAGACCTGGGTTCGATTCCCCACATGAGTGCAATGTGTGAAGCCCATTTCTGGTGTCCCCCGCCGTGATATTGCTGGAATATTGCTAAAAGCGGCGTAAACCCATACTCACTCGCTCACTCAAGAATTTCGCTACTATAAGCTGAATGCTTTTCAAAGGGCTGTTGAATCATTCACCGTCATGTTAGTGTCAGTGATGCAAATGGCATGTGGAGAACTTGACCCACAGACGATTTTTAAACATGTCACATTTCTGAACCTCATTTGGCATTGATAAGTTAAATGTTTTTCACAATGTTTACGAGTATATTGTCATATACAGGGCCGGAATGACTTCGCCATCCACGTGATCACGCGAGAGTTCGGCTATATCACTTGGGAGGATGTGTTCCTGTGTATTCAGTCGGAGCTCCTGCCAGACTCAATCAGGGCCAAGTTCTGTGAACTCATCATTGGTAAGTGTTGTCATTGTTCTTACGACACTGGTGTCATGTTTATATCGTTTTTTGTGGTATCACTCTGATTCAGCAATTCAAACTGATTCTGACCGCCCCCGTAGTGTACGGGTTAGAGCTTCCTCCCGGAGAGCGTAAGGTCGCGGGTTTGATCCCCAGCCCCAAGATCCCCAAGACATTAAAATATGGTACTTGTTGGTCCTTGCCTGGCGCTCGGCATTAATTGGTACATAAAGGACTGGTCGGCTCGGAGCCAGTTTAATGTGTCTGAGTAAGGTATTTATGTTAAATTGCGGCATGTTATCTCACTGAGCTAGCACTATAAAACCAGTCTGGGCTTGTACAAGCAGCCACACATATTCCACGAAATATTCTTAAGTACGCCGTTAAACCCCATTTCACCTCACCTCAAACTGATTTTGTATTTCACATTCACCAAGCAGTTTATATTGTTCCTGAAGTTTACACTGATCAGGTAGTTCACAAACCCAGCAGTTCACATCACGAGTGATGGACATGGAACTGGAGTTGTCCTTTCATGTCTATGTTATATCAACTGAGATGCCAGCTACAACAGTTTTACATCTACAATAATCTCGTGTAGGTTTGTTTGTGGACGTCGGCAACAACTACTCCGTGCTGGACAACCCCAACATCTGCTTCGTCTATGAGTACGTAGGCTCCAAGGACTCGGACCGGGAACAGACTCAGTATGTAAGTATTGGGCAAGTCTGCGGCTGGTGGTCAAGCTGGACCTGCTGGAACCGGGGCCAGAAGCTAGTCTGTCTGTAGAGTGCTCTGTCGTCTGTCTCTCTGCGCATGCTCTGTCAATGAAAAAGATGCATTTCCGGTGTTGCGATGAAAAGGACACATCTTGTGCACATGGCTTGCATGATACTATAACGTGTATGTGTATGAGAATCTTGATGAACCAAGTTTGAAACCATCTGTTCCTTCTCGCACGCATTTGCAGAAAACCCAATTTCGAGAAAATTATAATGAAGTATCTGAGGCGTAAATGTATTTTATTCACCAGTTATTATTTAATAGCTTGGTTGAATACACTGTTCACGCTTGGTCAGCTTCGAGCTATACAGCTTTGGTAACCTATTACAGTGAAAAAGGCCACACGAAATTATTTGATTATACAAGAGGTCAGTTTGCAGTTACCGAATCTCTTGCATCGTTGCCAAAAAGTGATGACAACTTGATTTATCTTCCTTTTCAACAATCACTGATGATAAAATATTTGAAATATTATTTGTGACCTGGTTAGCTCAAATCTGATTCGTAGTCCTACTGAGCCAGACTGGAAGAATGGTGTCTATGGTATGCCAGAAGCATGTGGATGAAGCACAGGGGGCACTTCGTTCTGTAGATACACTTGCCATTCTATTCACGTTAGATACGTCTTACCTCAAGCACAACCAGAAATTATTGAGAATTTAAAGACTGTAAATTTTATTTTTTTTCACTCATTTCTCACGTATTAAATGTGAATATTAGCAGAACATAACTCCAGATTCAAAGACAGATGAACAGTTAGTATTTTGTCAAGTCACCATGGGCAGCAATGTAGGCTTGAATGCGGCGGGGCATACTACTGATCAAAGAAGTTAGAAAGTCATGGTCCATGCTGTCCCAATATTGGACCACCTCTTCTTTCATTTCAGCAATATTTGTCAGATTTTTCTTATTGACACTTTCCTTCATAAGTCCCCAAACATTTTCTATTGGATTTAGGTCAGGGCTCTAGCTTTGCCAATCTAATAATGTCATATTTTGGGTCCGAACCCAGGCCTGTGAATGCTTTGAACGATGTTTTGGTCGTTGTCCTGCTTGAAAAACCAAAAATGTCCATAGAACACGTGCGATGACGGCAGTAAATGTCCCTCGAGAATATCTGTGTACCGCTCACTGTTCATATTCCCTTCAAATACACAGAGGGGCGTTGCCCCTAACACAGATATGCCACACGGACTGATATGCTGATACAGGTTTTTCAGTTTGTTCACATTGTCGCAGTTAAAATTTCTATGCTGTAAGCACCAGTTCAACCTTTGCTCCTTTTGTTCTGGTTTCATGATCGGTGATACTTGAAATCACTTTAGCTGATCTGATGTCCTTGTTATAATACTCTAAAATCAACTTCCTCTTCTCTAAATCATCCATACTGAGGATCACTGAAAATGTCGTCTGCTAGCAAGTAAACAAAGAGGGATAACTCTTCACAAACTAATGAAAAGGGATTTACGGAGTTGTCTCTCTGAATGAAACCAAGTACTTGATAGCTGGTCAAGGTTGTTTATACTAGAAATCCAATTAAACATATTCCTAAAATTCTCAATAATTTCTGGTCATACTATATGACTTCGTACTGTTGGTAGAAAAACTATTGAATGTATGTCATTACTATAGTTAGTTGTATCACGTCCATGTTTTTATTAGCATTTTATCCTTACAGACCACACCCCAAAACGGACCGGTAAGAACACGAACCCCTCTTGGGTGGACTATCTGACAACATCAACCTCTATTATTCAAACACTCCACTAACACAATCTTCTCTTATTTCGAAATCGTGATGACATCTGACCTGCTGTATTTTGTTTGCGTCACTCACTCATTTGCACTGTAGGTAGTTGTAACACTGGTAACCTGTAAGAGTAACACGTGGGATGGGCGTTTCTTGTCAAATCTTTTATGTGTGCTGTCCGTGCGCTGTAAAGAATAACGTAGAGCAGTCTATTCACACAAACAATGTCACTTTACTAATCAACAAGATGCATCGTCATCTAACGTCTGATAATGTTAAGAGCTTGGGGTGATAGTGAAGGAAACATCAGGAGTTGGCAAACAATCCAGGGACGATCCACCATGCTGACCTTACTAAGTTGCTACGTCAAATGTGCTGTGACCTTGACCTTCATTCACGACCGGTGGTAGAGACAGGACATATACTTCCGGGTTTTATTAACTCTCAGTTTAATTTTTTATTCCCGTTTTCGTGACAGACACGACCAACAATACTCCCAAGACCTTGACGTAGCTGAAAAGGGGAAAACAACAAACAGCATTATTTACTTTGAATATAAATAACCAAATCCAATCTTGTACACTAAACAGCCTTTGATACCAATTAGACAATAACACCGACTGAGACTATTTTTGACATCGACCTCTGTGGTATAATTAGCATTGTCCTCGTAGAATGATCTACACCCGTAAAGGTAGATAATAGCAAGGAGATCCATATAGAACGTATGTGTAGTTTTGGTGCAACTGTATCACTCTTTCACTGCGGCATGTTCGCGAGTACTCGTGTGATGATACCAGGACGTCGTAACGCCAGTAGAAGGGCATGAGGTAGCAGGACGCCTGCAGAGCACCCGCTCACGTGCATGGCGCTTGTGGCACTTTTGAAGTAGATGTTTCTTTAAATATTCTTTTTTTCTTTCTTTTGAAGACTATGCCAGTCAGTGAATTGTGATCTGCACATAAATATTTCCCCCAGCGTCGCAATCTCGCCCGATGTTTGATATACAAGGCTCCCGCGGATATCGCAAATATTTCATGTCTTACACTACGCCGGAGCCTTGAATGTCGTGACTTGATAATATGAAGAGTTTATTTTGCTGTGTATAGAGTAACAGTAGATTCCATCCTACCTGCCGTAGGTCGTAGCATTTCGTTAAACACTTCGCATCCGTTGTTTTTACCTGTAGAATATAGATTTACTAAAGTCTGACATTTTCGTTGATTAGAAGATGAGAATGGTTTTGTTTGCATCAAGCATTCTGCTGTGTTAACTTAAGGGAAGTCACTGTGATGTCTGCCACACTCGGGGACGGGGCAGTAGGAGAGCAGTCGGGGTGGGGACTCTTTGCACCTGCTCGCTAATTAGCCTTTGTTTGCTTTCCCGTACCCCAGGAGCACACGGCCGAACGACGGGACAGCGGCGAGGTAATGTATCTGTAGGGTCACGTGATGATTGTATGTAGATATGTACCATACATACAGTTGTACCTACTGGGATAGGCCATCTTCCCGAGGCAAGAGCGCCCCCTTGTCTTATCAAAGCTGGACTTTGATATAGGTTAGTGGACACTCTTTATTCTCGACGCTCTTGCCTCGAGAAGAGACTACGTTGCAATATCTAAGTACGCTAGGAGTTTCGTGTGCCGTGAACTTATTATATTTGGCTTTCTTGTTCCACAAGAGATACCTCGGAGACGTGAAATAATTTGCATTCCTGTCATTCCCGTAAAAGGTCCCTTCAGTAACCCATGCTTGTCCTAAGAGGCGGCTAATGGGATCGGGTGGTCAGGCTCGCTGACTTGGTTGACACATGTCATCGGTTCCCATTTGCGCAGATCGATGCTCATGCTGTTGATCACTTGATTGTCTGGTCCAGACTGGATTATTTACAGACCACCGTCATATAGCTGGAATATTGCTGAGTGCGGCGTAAAACTAATCTCACTCACTACAAGTGTATACATTAAGTCACACGAACGTTGTGATTGTTTGGTGTCCTAGTAGTTTCTACTTTGAAAAGCCGGGTTCGAATCCCAATATGGTACCACTGCTTGGTCCATATAATGTGTCCCCTGCCGAGCAGTGATTGGAATAGTGTGAAAACAGCATAATTCTACACATTTATATAAAATGGACGGCATCATATGTTTAATTTGTATTTTGGATCTTTATACAGATATGACATGAAAATAGATATAATGGTATGTTTCAACAATGACCTCGATAATACAGATAATTATCATGACCCAAGTTCAACTTTTATCGCCTTAAATACAAATACCTACTCACAATATACAAAAATGGTTAATGGTATTTTAAGAATGCACAAAAGGGGGATAATTCACAAAACCTTCTCACTTATTATTCTGTCTTTGAGTTTGATATTTGTTCTAACCACACACCGTGCCTGTATCACATGGTCCTGACGGCTTGCTAATGATGTATCTACATATACCCAGCTCTACGCCAGTAACTAACTCCTTAATCATGTGTTTTATTACTGTCTAACAAATGGAGGATATACTCACGTAACACTTCTCACTCTGCAAATTGTGTTGTCCTGTTTCAAATGCCTTTATCCTAATATGCGGTTCAGACAATGCTTCTTCCCGTATATGACGTTGGAATGTCCAGCTTCTAGAAATTGTCACATTTAATAATATTTTGTTGTCTACAATTACAGTTAACATAAACAACGTGTAATAATATGGCATGTATGTGTGATGCTCCACGATGATTTTTTCTGTCATTGTGTCTTGTCCTTGTAAAACAGGTGGTCAAAGACCTTGTCACCATCTTCCCAGTGCTCAGAGACTGGTTAGCGGACTTCCTTGCGCAGAACTGTACGATGACGGCGTCAATGGTCGGCCTTAACCTTCTGGTAGAACAGGTAAATCTTTGTCTTGATTAGAGTTAATGTGTCCCAGGTCTATTTCTTCACACGAGATAACCTTCGCGTACTCATGGTAGCTTTATGTTAATAGCCTACGTCTTCCAAGTCGCAGGATATAAACAACTCAGTTCGAATCCCAGAACAGAATCCCTGTGAACACGACAAATTTCCACGAACTCATTTGTTTCAATAAAGTAGTGAACTTCAGCAATGTACTTCACTTCTGGCTGTGTCATGGTGACGAAATTCAATGTACTTTTCAAATGGACATTAATCTCAATACACTCTAATCTCGCTAGGTTCTCCGCCTTCTGCACCACCTTGTAAAGTTCGGGTACTACATGGATCTGGATGACGTCAGGAAGCTGCTGCCTCCATTACTCAGCTTGCTGGACGGGCGGCATGATGTCCCATTCCCCAAGGACAAAGACAAGGGCAAAGGTACGCATATACCAAAACTGTCGGCTTCCTAACTAAATGGGTGTAACCACTCAAGCATCATTCCAGAAGAGAACAAGAGTGCCTTTCATTCAAATGCATAAAGTAAATCCACCTGTTTTCTTCAGGTTATTCTAAAGAGTCTAGCAAGTCTGTCGCTCAGTACAGAAACACGACCAGGTTCGAGCTGAATCAAGAAATGGAGGCCATCGTCAATGCCAAATACCAGTAAGTAGATGAATAGGCTTTGATGCCATGAAGAACAGGTATTAGTCCAATATAACACTATTTCTGACTGTACATATCAACTGTCTTTTCAGGGCCATGTGGGTGCTCGATCTTCTCCTGACATTCCAGAGAAATCTACGGCTGAAGGTGAGATATATAATGACGAAATATTATTCATAATCAAGAGAGATGTCCAGTCTTCAAGATATCTCATTGCTTCATCATCTGTTGTCTACACCTATATTCTCCCTTCCTGCAGGTATTTGTCACCAAGTTCAAGTACGGTGAACTGGGCGCCAAACAGGGGGCTGTCAAGAAGAAGTTCCAGACGGTGCTGGAACCGCTCTTGTACGAGACGTATGACCCAACAGACACGTCAAAGTAAGTGGTACCATAATTACCTTTGTTCGTTTGCCCTCGGCTTTTATTCTCCACATGCAGTTGACTTCAGTCGCCCTGACATGACTGTGGTACTGCTCACATATTTCTGTTCACATTCTGACTGTCGTGTTGTGTTGCCAGGAAATCGCTGAAGAAGCAGAAAGAGGTGCTGAAAGAACTGAAAGAGATGTTCCATGCATCCGCCATCTTTGATCTGGACAGCACCACTGCTGTGCTACTGGTCAGTACTAGACTCAAACTTGGAGTTTTCTGGGTTTTCTTTGTTATTTAGGCTTATCAGTAAACTGTGATGTGAGTAAAATGAACTAACGGACACAGAAATACAATCTGTTGAAAATGCCACCACGCCCTTGCCCCATCCCCTGGTTTTTACCTGTATCATCTGGAGACCATTGCAAGGATGGACAAAAGAATTAATTACTGTGATTGTTTTACATATCTAAGGTGTGCTTAAAAGATACAACTATACATTTGAAGGCGATTCCAGGGTTCTGAAGGTGTCCTATGATGGTGTCACCATATATTATATTCTAACAACTGCACTTGTGTTTCCTATCAGGACCTGTCCAACTACAAGTCTGACAAAATGGTGGTCAAGTCCTTGGACATCCTGAACAAAATGTACTCCTCCCAGAACGACATGTTTAAACTGGCGGAGAGAGCTCAAGTGAGTATTTGGTAACCCTTAATAAATGTCTCGAGTTGTCTCTGTCAGGAACTGCTGGCGTTCTTGGAGATCCGATGTTGGTCTGCCAATAAGGAAAATCTACTGCAAGTATGTGTGCATGTTTTCGTCACTCACCAATGCCTATGTATGTAGGTGCTGCTTACTCACGACTCGGCACGTGTCCACCGCGAGGTTCAGAGGTCACTGCCAACATTGAGACGCTTGTCACGTGCGAAACTGAATGACCAGCAGGTGCAACTGATGAGTGATGTCCTTGACGAATTAGCAGAGTGAGTTATCTCCCCGCTTTTTGTATAAACTATCAATCGGTTATAATGTGTCATTCATACCATAAAGGGATCAAACAACGTTGTGTCTGTAATCTGTGTAAAGGTGGTCAGTTACAACATATATGCCAGTAATGATTCTTCTGTCACTATCTCTGATTTTACCCCTTGTATTATAGGTTCTGTCACCTCCCGAAGACCTGTGATGAACCTCACCACATGAACCAGAACATAATGATTAGTCACGGTCAGTTGATTACTGTGAGATAAACTTAATGTTTACAATAAGACCAAATCTGTACTTGCCCCTCCCACAGAGCAATTTTGTGTCACTTGAGAAGTTTGCAATTCCTACACTTTAGTACAGATATTTCCGGTTGAACATGAAAAGCTGCATTGTATTTGTTTATATTTACCAATAACACAAGTTTCCTTTGTTTTTAGGACTTCTGAAGATTGTTCTGGACATTCTCTCTCAGGAAATTGATTCTCGGCTGGTTGTAAGTATTCCGCACATTTGACGGTTTCTACCCTGAAGGAAGAGCTAGTTTGTTCATACGTTTCTCAAGCTAGAGCATACACAGAAGGACGTAAAGCGTGTATACCACTAAGACTTGATTTGTTGGTGTTGCAGGAGCAGTACAAGGGGATGGAGACGGTGTTCAGGAAGACGTTGTATCTGCTGCAGCTGTTAACCAGAGAGAACCAGCGCGTGCAGGAGCAGCTGTTCGAACACCTGGACACCCTGCTGGATGTACAGATCGTCCGCTCAGATCTGGCTCTGGCGCTCAAAGAGGTACCCGGCATTTGCAGAAAGTCTTTAACACAGCGGAGTCGGTATATTTTAACACATTGGGAAAAGGATGTTTTCCTCTGAAATGATTCGCTAAACAATAGAACCGGAGCCACAATCTGACAGATTTCAGTCAATCCACAATTTACAAATACCGTCAATCCGTAAACGTAATTCATAGTGTGAATGTTTTACATGTTCTTCATTTACTGAATCCCTATTTCAGTTGTTCATCGGGAACCAGGCTACCTGTCTGAAGGTGTACTCCCGCCAAATCCAGAGGATTGTTCTTTTGTCCGCGGAGAATCAGCATCGAGCTCCAGAGTTCCTGGAACTCCTAAAAGTCCTCGTGAAGGTGGAAGGACTGGACCTGACAATCAAACGCAACCAAGCGCTGGTGATGAAGTACATTATGCAAACCTTCAAGAAGGCAGCCTATGTACTCGACCAGCCCCGAGAGCTCAGGTAACTAGTCATAAGATGGATACTGACAGTACAGGGACTCCTTTCTGAGGTTAACCTTAACTCCCATTCTTCAACATTTGAAAGCTTTGTGAAAGGAGGCCCAGCTGGGTCAATAGACACGTTGAAAGGTGTTATTGACATATTCATGTAGTAATGACAATTGTTTTGTTTTTCAGGGAGAAGATCCTCACTAACAAGACAGAGCGAGGCCACCTGACGTACTTCATCAGCCTGGTCGACCTACTAGCAACATGTGCTGAGGTACTCGGATTAATCCTTACCGACATATCTCCACTTCTTTAGGCTAAACGTCACGCCGAAGACCCGGGTTCGAATCCCCACATGGGTACAATGTGTGAAGCCCATTTCTGGTGTCCCCCGACGTGATGTTGCTGGAATATTGCTAAAAGCGGCGTAAAACCAAACTCAGTCAGTCAGTCTTTAGGCTAAATATTTATTGCGTTCCCTTTAATCACATTGCCTTTTTCAGTTTCAAACATCTTTGTGAACCTTGACTAAGGACGAAACAAATGTACATGTACGTACATAAGATCTTACTCTGGGAGAGCTGAGTAGCATAGAAGTTACAGCATTCGTTTTAAAAGTTGTGTTCGATTCCCATTTTTTCGATGCTTTAATAGTGGTCATGATGATGATAATTATTATTAGCATCTCCTTCAACCACTTCACTCTCTCTGTATCTGACCATGCAGGGTGAGAACAAGTTCATCGAGTCCCTGTGCCAGACAATCCTGCCGGTGGAAGAGCTGCTGTGGGTGATGAACCACCCCCACATCGACACCAACCTCAAGAAGCCGTTCATCAAATTCATGCTGTGGGTGTACATGAAGACAACCAGCAACTTGGTGGAGAGCGGCGCGGCAGACTTACAGCATGACAAGTGAGGCCTTTACAATTAAGGAATACAAAATTCTCTATATTAAGTCTTGTTCAAATAGAATTGTAATTCATGACCTGGCATATTTAAAAAACTTTTAGTTCACTTTTCGATTTGGGACTTGATTCCGATATTTTGCGCACCCCAAGCTATTTGACATGGTCAAAAACAGGTACCCACTGAGGAATAGGTCATTCCTCTCCCCTAAGGAATAGGTCGTTCCTCTCCCTCAGTCAGTTTTGAGCACCACCACATTGTTACCCTAATTATTATCATTGTGCGTTGCAGGGACATGTGGGAGTTTATTACGTCAGCGAGCGGCGAGATCAATCAGCTGATCGACTACTTCTCGCACCACCCAGACAGAATATCACAGCTCCTCAAGTCTCAGCCCCCGAAGAGGTACAATACAGGATCCATGAACAGTTAACATAGCTACATTCTTTGTACACTCTTTGTAATAAATTATTCCAGCTCTTGCAGTATTTAAGTAAACGTACGTTGTGTCTAAGGGATCGTTACGCAATGAACCAGTAAGAATGATGGCACGTGTGATTTTTATAAACATCCTCATCAATTGTATTTGTTTTTGTTGCAGCTGTGTGGCCGAGGGGCACGACACCCGTGCCGTCATGCACGGCAGTCTCTTCTACATCCTGGACGCCGTCATGCCGTTCCTCCATGTAAGTATAACATTCATCTCATGTACAGCTTATTGTGTGCTAAACTCCTCATGAAATCAAACGAACTGTCTTCGGGAGACGGCTTGAAATTCTGTGACAATGCTTTGCAGACTATTGTGACATATCATGACATCGAACATTTTTCATTTTCACCCACCCTTGCGTGTTCCAGATCTTCTACACAGTGTTCTACCTCCCGGACAAAGACGTGTACCCTAATGAGGTGTTCACCACAGAGAGCCTTGCTAACGCCCTCACTGTGAGTATATGCACCCAGTCATGGGTAGTTTTTAATTTTCTCTTAACATTAAATTTTAAGGCGGGAAAATAATTCAGTTGTATGACAAGCAGATTAACGACGTCATCTACATCTAACGCCGTGTGTTCTCAGGCTCTGTGCGACGTCCTCGGTTCCCACATCACCTGCCCGCATCAGATGAAGAACATGGTCACCTGCGTCACCACCATCGTATCCGTGTCCAACAGCTCAAAGACGGTAGGCTTTAATGATGCATTGAAGGAAATGTCCTCATTGGCGGAAAACGGCTACCGCCGAAAATGCTCCAATGAAACAGTTTATCACGGTTGATAATGTTCTGGGCCTGAGCTCCTTTTTGTCACAGATGGTCATGTTGCGGTTATATGTTGGTGCAGGTGTTGGTGAATGTGCTGGAGAAGCTGACAGGCGAGATGAGGTTCGAGAACAACACTAGTGCAGTACGAAGGGTACGTGTGATGGTCGACAGAATAATGAACAGAAGGCTTGTAATTACAACGTTGACAGGTCCCGCTACACCCCGGGTTCACAACGAACAGCATACAAAACGAAGCAATTCCACCTACTGTATGTTAGACATACAGCACATGTTTATAAACATTCTGAAATCTGTAATATGATGTTAATGATAGTTGATCAGCTATCAGTCATTACAAAAATCCTATAGCTGTTACTGAATCAATGTTTAAGGGTAACATGGAGTACTATGCTTCCGAGTTGGAGCTGAACGCCAAGTTCCATACGTTTACAAAGAACTGCAGCGTCGTGCACAGCGGCCACAACACCGTCAGTGCACAGCTCAAGTACAAGAAAAACAAGAGGGGTAAGTACTCTAACGCTCGTCACGCCACCAAGAAACAGTTTAACAAGGATACATGGATATGGAAAAGTGAATGGGAAAATTCGTTAAACAATGCTCTACAAATCAAAAGTATAATGCAGAATTATAATGCATTATAGTTATTGCATACTTTGTATACGCCATCTGTAATTTTGTACTGTGAGGTAACAGCATATTCCCTCCTACAGAGTACACGATAGTTGGCGACAACGAAGAACTTCCACTGGGCGAAGAGTTCCAGCATCTGGTGAAGTGCTTTGTAAACAGCGGGGAGAAGAAAATAGCCAAGCGTTACGCCCCTGCCTTCAAACTGATAGAACAATTATCGTGAGTATATTTAACGTGGAATATTTATTCAATTAAATTCATTCATGCTAAATAGTTTAAGTAATGGTAAAATCTGCTGTAAAACTAAGTACAGTCCACAGTGTACAGCTAAAGGGTCGAGTGTGTTATACCATCATATGTTATGTTATGAGGCCCAACTGTCTGATTCAGGATCTCGGCTATCCGAGCCAAGCAGGCCAACCCGAATGTCCCAACCCACTGGGAACTAGACGTCCGGTGCCTCCAGCTTCTCCGAGCAATCATCCACAACGAAGAGCGGAAGCTCCCTGATGACTGGGACATCCGGACCAGCGAAGCCAAGATCAAGAAGTATTTACAATATTTTAGTATTCCTGGTACTTTTCTGTGACAATGCGTTGCTTAAAGAAGCTTAGCTACTTCAAATCTAGAAACATTGTCTTAATAATGCGACATGATGTATTCTATCTGTCCTCCCAACTCATGATGTTCGGGGATCAGTCTTCATGTACAGGTCGTGATATAGCTAGAACATACCAAACACTGTCCAATTAACAAGAAGACAATCTGCTGTTTGTATTCCACATAATAAGATGTTATTATTTTCCCCGCGCGCTCTAGGCAGCTGAACCACATACGGGACCTGCAGATCGTCATCAACCAACAGGATGTGATTGTGAAGGTGCTACCTCACCTCGCCAGGAGAAACGACGAGATTGCTCGAGAGGTCCTCGCCTTCATATGCATCATGCTCTTCAACGCCAACAGAGACGTGCAGGTGTGTACATATTGCACTACAGCGGCATACATACATCTACATTGTTCCTCTGCCAGACTGCTGAAATGATCAAGGATCTCTTATGTACAGAACTTGTGATGACGTAATTTACGCAATAGTTGTCAGCAATTGATATTTTCTGCTGGTTCTTTTTGTTACATTCGTTCCATGACTTGTCTGACCGCGAACGCAACACAACTTCAATGGCAGTTGTAAAACTGTGCTTTTCTAACTTTACAGTAATGAGAGTTCGCCAAGGGGCGCAAGTAATGACGAACTGTCACTGACTGGGTTTGCGCAAACGCCACGCAAGTTATAACGTCAATACACAACACTTTCCTTTGTCCCCAAACCCTTTACCATACGTGGGTCAGTTGCATAACTGGGTTTATGTGGTTCCAAATTGCCCGTTTTAACCATTAACGCCAGACTAAAATGCACCATATAAATGTATCAGAACGTGCCCTTGGCCTGGGACTCGTACTGACATAGATTGAGTATAACGCCTACAGAGATTCTGACTTTGACATCGACTTGAAATATTATTTCCGTGAGGACACCCACTGTGGCACCAGGAGAACCTTTGACGTTTCCGTTTTGTATGGGATTGTATGTATTGTAGAAATCGATGTTGGAATACTTCCTGTCAACCCGCGAGGAGGTGTTCTTCATGGCCGTGAGGGACCGGATGCAGATCTCTACCAACTCTATCAAGGAGAAGTGAGTTGTCTGCCCTTGTTTGTTCTAACATTTGGGGCACCGTCACACAATAATGGCCATCTTACAGTCCTGTATTTAACAGTGTGGTATTAATAAGAGTGGAAGTGTCTTTTGTAATAACCAAGGCTGTGGAAGGGTTGGTTGAAGGTCAGAAATACCTTGATGGAACATGTAGACATTCAGGAAAGGCAATGTTTGTCCATAGTGATGGAAGCAAGGGTAGAATGTCGGTCAACTGGTTTGTGTTCTCTCTGCCCAACTATTGGTGACATGGGAGGACCTTACATGAAACATACCAGGAGTGGGCAGCCGTACCCAATTACTAAAACCCATTGTCGTCCCTTGTCCTTATTCTAAGATGTAAGCCAAAGTAAACGACGATCGATTATTGTTCGAAGATGATTCACAATTCTTGCTCGTTTGCGTTGCTGAATAGTATTCACTTTAGGTTTCAAAACGTTCATGGGTGAAAGAAAAATACATTCCAATGTGTGAGTTACACTGAAAGAAGTAGACTAATGCTTAGTCTCTGAATATATATATAATTTTGATAGTAACAAACAACACCATCTAAATTGAAAAGGAGCCCCAGGGAGACCAGAGATTCAGAACATGAGGAAATCTAGACTTACTTTATTTAGGGCTTTAGCACTGCAGAGAGAGCCTGGCAGTGGGGACAATGTGGTTCAGGGACTGTGAGACAGACTATGAAAGACGGTGCGATCGTATTCATTCACCAATTAAAACATACAATGAAAGTTGGAACTGGAAGCAGTTTGTGAGTTCCTGTTTGCTGCCAGGTCATCAAACTCCCCCAAACTCCCCAATGAGTCCTGATAGGTTCACAACTTTTAAAATCATGTGTAATTATTATTATCGTCACTTAATACTTATCCACTTATTGATCAATGGAACTTTTCACTTGCATATTGATTAGTCCAACACCGGTACCCCAAAACTATGATCGACTTTCCAGACCTCCCTCCCCCTATTTGATAGCAACCCCCCTCCGCAGCCTCTTGCGACCCCTAATTGTCGTGGGTGAAGGCACTGTCAGAATGACGTCGTGTTTCTCTTCTTTAGATATTTGTTGCTGAAAAAGAGTCGACGGAAAGGAGCAGGGTAATTTGTTTGGCATGTAGTCGTTTGTGACACTGTTGGCGACGGTGTGAGGTTAGGCTTGTAGTGTTGTAGTAACTAACTCATCAACGACACTGGAAACTACGTCAGAACAACGTCGGCATTCATGTTTGCATGTTCAGTTGAATATACTGCATGGGATGTACTTTGTGGACGTACTCGCACACAAGGTGTCCACCCGTTACGTGTTGCCCCTTTACTTCAATGTAGTCATATCATACCTTGTTTGTAGAACGCCGACATTAAGGCTCGGTGCGGCGGAAAAAATGAGTTTGTGTGGTTGTCTCCCTTACTGGTGCCAGGATGCACTGGTTCGGGTCACGAATTTCAAATTCGTCCTGATCATGATTCTTATTTTGTCAGTAACGTGTCTCGCGTCTTCATCAAGCAGAAGTCGCCTAGTAAATACGTCGTTTGGGGCTCCTCCAATAATAAGGCTGATACTGTGTGGAATGCATGGTGCACTGTTCAAACACTGTACTGTTCGGTTTCTTGGTTTGTCAAAATTCAAAAGAAAACGGAACTCCATATTTAAAAACAACAACATTTATCCCCTCTCCTTCTCTAGATGTATTTTGCTGAATGTATTTTTCATGGCACTTTATTATTGCAATGCCATATACTTCGCGGAGTAGCACTGGTATGGTTTATTTCACGGTTCTTTATTGTGGTTGCGTGCACTGTAGGTTTGTAAGATCTCAGTTTTCATTTTCAGTTAGTTAGTTAGGCTTTCTGCACGGTATTGAAATTTACGGTACAGAGTTTGGTAACCTTATCTGACAAACGTGGTATACAACAACCAACTTGATATATAACGTGGAAACACCGGTGTATATCAGGTAGTATGCACATCACTTTGACAAATCGTTTTAGTTATTTGCTTTGTCAGATATGGTACAAAAAGTTATTTGACATCCATGCGTTTGTGTGAAAAATCTAGAGTAGATGTCCTAGACCCAACCAAGTAACCTTAGCCCTTAATGAATTAGAACTTTAGGTTAGAAAAGACTCAACACAATAATGATTACATTTTGGATGAATGTCCAAATGAAAGCCTAGAAGCTAATCTCTTTAACTCTTAATAATAATTATATATATATATGGGGTGGGGTAGCCAGACGGTTAAAGCGTTCGCCCGTCACGCCGAACACCCGGGTTCGACTGCCCACATGGGTACAATGTGTTAAGCACATTTCTGGTGTCCCCTGCCGTGAGATTGCTGGAATATTGCTAAAAGCGGCGTAAAACCAACTCACTCACTCACCTAATATATGGGCTTATTGCGAAGATATTCATTTTTCCCTTTGCATTTTCAGAAAGATCTTATGTGTATTTATACGTTTTTAGCATAAGCGGTTAACACTTACCGTTCTTTAAGCAGATGAAGTAAAAACATGTATACTCCGGTCAACTCCGAGGCAACATTAGATCATACCTCGTTCACCATGTGAGCGTAACATAGATCCAAATGTGTACTGGACCTACAGGACAAGCACGTACTTCTAGTAACATGTGCAGTGATATATTTTCAGTGTTTGTGTTGTTCCTAGTATTTTCTTCTGCATCCACCGGATTATTCCTCTTTCCCAGCACCACTGTAGACATGTGTTTCAATTGATCATATTTTTATTCCGTTTCAGCTGTATTTTCTTCTGACAAATGCTCGTTTTAGACATCACCTTGTACAAATTCAAGTGCATTCGCCTGAAACTATATGCTCAACCATTTCATTTTCTGCTAAGATTTAGTTTTTTTTGCATACTTTGCTTTAGAAAACCACCCTTTTGTCCACCCTTTGTATATCCAATTGGACCGTGTATATAATGCCTTGGCTGTGTTTCCAGGCGGTCACTGCTAGCTCAACACGAGAGTCGAGTGAAGGAAGCACTCAGCAATATGACCAACTACAACACTTCCCTCACAGTTGGACGAAAGGCTTTGCAGGTACACTACGTCTAACACTCAGATACCTTGTATCGTTGACTTAAAATACATTATTTAACTATTGGGGGCGGTGGGGTAGCCTAATGGTTAAAGCGTGGGCTCGTCACGCCGAAGACCCGGGTTCGAATCCCCACATGGGTACAATGTGTGAAGCCCATTTCTGGTGTCCCCCGCCGTGATGTTGCTGGAAAACTGCTAAAAGCGGCGTAAATCCAAACTCAGTCAGTCAGTCTTTAACTATTGTGTTCAACTTTAGACAGGATTCGAAGCATTCGTAAAAGATCTCACTAGTCTCATTTACAGAAATGGATGTATCATAAAGAATTCTAATTCAGTGTGATGAAGTAGCAATGCTTTACGGTGCATTTACTTATATTACATGTCCCAGATCATGATCGGAAACCCCATCTGGAAATCAAACCATTGGCTCAGCTTCTATCTCACTACCAAGTAAGGGCGGTGGGGTAGCCTAATGGTTAAAGCGTCCGCTCGTCACGCTGAAGACCCTCGTTCGATTCCCCACATGGGTAGTATTGGGTACTTTGTGTGAAGCTCATTTCTGGTGTCCCCCGCCCGTGATTTGCTGGAATATTGCTAAAAGCGGCCCAAAACCATGCTCACTCACTACCAAGAGAAGGAGACGTCATAGACAATTTGGGGCAATTTGGGGTTCTTTTTCAGCTTTGGACGAGAGGAAAGGAATTTGACAAGGAAAATTTATATACTATCTAGCCATTGTGTATTTCAACCTAACCTTTGTTATCATTCATTTTCAGCAAATCCAGCTCCATGAACAGAAGATGCGCATGGAGACACTGAGCGGCTGGGTAAGACCGTATGTCCGTTAGAGGGCGCGCTTATAGAGGCTAGAAGGTTAGGTTTACGAATACATTCACTAAGAGGTCACTGACACCCCAGTTGATTAAGTCTATATGGGATTAGTACATGTGCTCTCTTGTCACTTGGATTTCACTGAACGTAGAATTGTCGTAGATAGAACTTTGTACCCAGAACATCATATCACCATTCTAGTTTATGAAACACCTAGCAGTAGAAGAGCACATATGTATCTACTGAATTTGTATGTTAGAATTGCACTTTGACTTTGCTCAAATGTTGCTTTTTGTGTGTAACCTAATACCTTCTGGAAAAAATCACTATCTAACACGAGCACTGCTTAGTTTTCAATTGTTTGTAGGTCACGAAGTCTAACAGTGTTCAGCGTTGCACTTGTAGTAAAACGTCATCTTTCAGAACAATCACCATTGATTCCAGTGTAGATGAACTCTTAAAATCAACATCAGACCGTGCTTACTTTCGCTTGTCCCATCTTGACATCAGTTTACATCAATTTTCATCATCGTGCCAAACACTGTATCCGTTACAGCGCAAAATGTCTGCTGTCGCACACTGCACACGTAACTATCTGTCGCAAAACACATCCGCTGCCATTGTTCTTCAGAACGCAAAATCACTGCTGTTTTATGTCATCGACTGTGAACTCATCACTTTCCTCGCGCCTCTTGTCTCTATATTCCATGTACCCTTGTGTGCTCTCTCTTCATCCACTGACTGCTTTGTCCAGTTGCATCCGTCATGTACGATATCTATCTTCACTTTGGGTAATCTTCTTCTCTTTCGTGTGTTCGTCTTGTGGATAGCGTGTCAGAGTAGGTGTCCTGTATCATTACGTGTCGTGAGAAACTATACGGGGCACTGCTCAGCATCAACACCTGTTTTCATGCCTGGGTAGACAACCAGGTTCGACCTCTATGAGGGTTTGGGTCAGAATAGACCTAGCTTGCGTAAGAGCAGACTTAAATGGAGATCGGAACTTTGGTTGTTAACGTGCCATCGTACCCGAGCAGCATGGATCGATGCCTGTGCCTTCGGTCACAGGTTTGTCTGGTCCAAAATTGCTTGCTGTAGCTGGAATACTGCTGACTGCGGCATAAACTTCATTTATGCACCCACTCACCAGCTGGGAAGCTCTCTCAGCTTACTTGGATGGTGTTGGTCGACTCTGGCTTTGGTTTGTCTGGTCAAGGCTTAGTGCGGGTGTCTATAATGTAGCTGTAATTATGCTGACTGGCGAGAAACACGTCACCCCAATGAATCACATAATCTCTGATAACTAACACCACTTGCCTCGTTTTAAAGCGAGCTTTGTGTCGAGCTGTCGAACCCCCGGACGACGGTCGACTTAAGCGAAAAAGAACATGGCGACGTAAAAGTAGTGAGAAGGAAAAACCTAAATCCAAACCCGGAAGTGAGCTCCTAAATGGCATCCCGAAGGACAACGAAGCCCTGATGAGTGACCACTCTGACATTGAGCTCGCTGATGTCAAGGTCGAGGTAAGCACGTGCATTGCCTGTGCATGTGCACGCCCTGAGCCTAAGGTGTGAATGCCTGACAGAAGAATGCAATGAATTTTGCCTGCATAATCCGGAAATAGATGTGCATGATATCACATGGTTTTCATGCATTTCGCTCAATACTCGGCATGCTTTGAGAAGCGGTATGTTTATCATTAATCAAATCAATGCTGAAAGGATGCTATGCGCTTTTAACATCGCATTTCATACTTGTATCGTCTTGTATCGAACTTGTTTTGTTCCTTGTTTATGAAGTGATGTATTTTGTTTCCTTGTTTATAAAGTGATGTATTGTGTGCACTCAGTGCATTGTGGATGTCACACAGAACCACGTCTTGTGAACTCTGGGTTCTGGATTTGCTGTTTCTTTGTTTCGGTTCTGCTACAACAAAGGGTCACTGCATGTTGCGTTTACTTTGTCTGTGTGGTGTACCGAACTCTTCTACAGTAAGAAAAAGTGTTTTGTGGAACCTTTCGTCAAAATATGCATGGATGGCGTCACAACATCTTTCTTCACAAATATGATATACCACATACACCTTTTAGTGGAAGCATTTCTTAAAAGCATGTACGGATATAGGACCACTTGGGGGGTTTCATATTAAAAACAGAAATGCCATCATGAAAGTAAAGCCTATAAAAATGTTAATTCTGTGGTATGGTAGACCGGAACACATATTCCAAGAATGTGCCAGCATATTTGATTATTTTGTGTGATCGGTTCCACCAAGAAACCTTAGGGTTTTCAGATCGTGACCTTGAAAATTATGTGTCATACTCTAACAGCGTGGATCGTTATTCTTCATATCCTTCACTGGTTGAATGGTCCAAATTCGATTTGTACGGACAGCGATCATACAGGTTGAATATAGAGGAGTGTGGAGTTCAAAAAAGATTCTTAGCAGCTGTAAACTAGATCTTCATACGAACTACCTTATAGAAGGAAGTGTAAAATTATCGACGAGTCATTTTATTGCGTTTCTGGTTCTATGATGGCCACACAAAGAAAGAACTGGTCTTCTCATTCATGCTTCATTTGTCATGGACAAGTAATTTAACAATAAAGCAACGAGCCCAGTGAAAAGATGCGGGTGTTGCATTTGCGATCATGCTCAGCTGCGATATGAAAGTCTTCCCTGAAAACGTTTTGTCTGCTAAATGTATCCCAACTTGACATGACATCTGCTTGGTGCGCGCATAAAGCATGGTGGTCGGCGGAATGCGGATACATGGAGCCCAAGCAAGTACAATTGTATATGTATTGTGTAGATGCTTGAACAGGGAGATACTTGCTGGGACAAGCTTCATATGCATGGCACATATATTGGACAGTTTACATTTCAGCGATTATTCTTTTAATCTTATCTTTGTTGATTCATTGTTATATAGAACTACTAACTTATTGTTTTGAGGGTACTCACCACAGCATGTATATAACACTAATACACTCAGGACCGAATTAATCATTTTGTTTTACTTTTTTTAAATTACTATAATTATTTTTGCAAAAACTATACCACAAATCGTAAATTATAGAAAAGTAATTTGTGAGACCTGGCGCTTATTTAAGGTTTCGAAAAATCCGAAAAAAATGTTTTCAGAAGATGGGCCTTTAGCCGTTCTCAACAGATGCGTGTTATCTTTGGTTGTGTAACGAACCTTTAAAGAAGAGACTTCCAGCTTACGTTAATGATTCCAAAATAGATTTGATACTGCTGAAACAAATATCTGCTAATGATATAGTCACAATTGTACAACTTGCTTTTAGCAGAGATTTAGTATGAATGTGGAAAGGGTTTTGTCGCTTCTAATTGCATTGTGCAAGGTTCAAACATTCAGTAATTTGATGTTACATGCATCGATTATACATCAAACACACCTATCAAAGATCCACATGATTCGATGCTTTATAGCAATACGTACATGTTAACACGGAAGTGTGTTCGGTTGAATATAGAGCGGAGAAAGCAGGCCTGAGGAGGAGCTGGTTGCTGCTATGGATGAAGGAGTTCGGGAGATCCTGGAGTACAAGGATGAGGGCTACATTGAGCTGGTCCTGAAGGTGCTGGCCCGCATATGTGATGGGCAGAACACTGGCCTACAGGTGTGTACAGGTATAGAGGGGAGGGGGACAGTGACGTCATGATGCGATGCAGGTGGGAGAACAGTTGTACAGTTGACATCAGGCTGAAGTTCAGATGATGTCAGGAGGGAGGATGTGTTCATGTGGAAACATGACGTTACAATGGGCAGGACGGTGTTCACCATGATCATTATCCACCTGACGAATGGGCAAGAACTAGTCCAGAAACGTTGTGTAAAATAAATCAAGAAGTTGTTATCCATAAGATTTCTCTTGTATTAGTCACAGACAAATTGTGTCATTTGGTTGGGGAGGGGTTTGGGGTGGGTGCAAACAGGTCGTTTGTGAGGTTGGGGGTGTGGGAGCACATGCTCATTTCGTCTCGACTGACATGTTCGGGAATACACCGACGGTGGTAACCAGTTCTTGCCGTGACGTTCGTTTAGGAGGAGACTGTTGTTTGGGCAGTCGTCCTCAATTACTATCGAATTCTGATTTCAAAAACCCCTTCTCAAACATTTCCATATGTTGCGTTTACCCTTCAACAGAACTACCTTCGAGAGCAGCCGGACAACGTTAAGTCCTTCAACATCGTCGGCGAGACGACCCAGTTCCTCAACGTCGTCTACACCACCATCAACAACAAGACCATCGACCTGGTCATACAGCTCTTCAGCTCTCTCAACGAGTTCTGTTCGGTGAGATTTAGATACACATTTGGAGATATGTTTAATGTAACAGTATAGAACGTGCTTTTCTTGTCCCAAATGTATTCCCAATGTCGTTTTAAAAACACCTTTTGAATGTGATTATCAAAGGATATGGGTTGTCACTAATTTGGCATTTTCTTTATTCAGGGCAATCAGGAGAACCGCAGCGTCATCTACGACAAAAAAGTCATCGACTACATCAACTTCATCCTCAGGGCCGGTGAAATCGCGGACTGCCCGATAGAAAAGGTAAGATAATGGTCAAGGAGACACTCCACAGTCACGTAAGCGATAGAATCAAACCTCATCCCTGTGGAACTTTGAATGTGTGTTTTTCAACGATTCCGAAAGGTCGCCGAATTTGTTTTAAAGAACGATGACAAAAGTTTGTTTTATTTTAAGCTATTTATTCCTGACTATAGAAGAATTAAAATAGCATGAAAAATATTAGAGGAATTGACCGTCCCAGTGTGTTATGCAGGCTATCACTGTCACAATACAACCATATCGGACTTTGATTGCAGGTGATAGAGCTGCAGCAGACCATCGCCTCCCTCATCATCTCGCTCATAGAGGAGAACGGCCCTGGAGCATCGCAGGTGGCAAAGGTAAGGAAACAAATGACGATCTTCGTTGAAATAATAAGTCGTAAACAAAATGTGTGGCATGTTGTAAAATACGCTCTATTTGAATGAATGCTTGTTTGTACTACAAACTTCATTACCTTTATTGAACCAGTATGTGCTGATATAATATCCTTAATGATTTGTTATGTTACCAGGAAGTGAAGGATGCACTTGACAAGGAAGCCGCATACAGATGCATGACGGTCTGTTATGAAATGCACCAATCAGAGAAGCCCAAGCTGGAGGGACTGGTTCGTCTCAACGAAAATGGCAGCTACCTTCAGTCAGCTAAGTCCATCGCAGCCTTTGGTGGAAGTCTGCTTCAGGGCGTTGTGGTATGTCATTATTCTACTACCTTATGACATCAGTGATTGTTTTATATCCTGATACCGAGCACTAGACAGGGTAACACTTAGTACCATCATTAAACCTCATTTGAGAAAACGCTTCCGATGATCTAAGACGCATTAACCATTGTATCACGGAGCGGTGTACGCATGCACGCACGCACGCACGCACGCACGCACAGTGGTTACAAGGACGAATATACTCAAGTTTCTTTGTTTCATTGTTACAGAAAGGAAAGAAGAGGAACGCTCTTCGTGAGATTGTGATGGAAGTCGGCTTCAGCTTCTACATGATCCTCGCCCGCATGATAGACATCGACAGCCATCTAGCTGACAGTAAGTTGGATACAGAACTTCGGCCTCACTCTATCAATCACTTTGTAGTCTAATCTGTGTTCGGGCGGTGGGGTAACCTAGAGGTTAAAGCGTTGGCTCGTCACGCCGAAGACCCGGGTTCGAATCCCCACATGGGTACAATGTGTGAAGCCCATTTCTGGTGTCCCCCGCCGTGATGTTGCTGGAATATTGCTAAAAGCGGCGTAAAACCAAACTCAGTCAGTCAGTCTAATCTGTGTTCAGTAAGGTTAGGGCAGTGATATAACTTCGAATGTGTTGACTGAACTAACCTTCTGATTCACATTCATTCATCAAGGTAATTACAAATTCCCTATGTCTTTCAGCCCTCAATCTCAGCCCTGAAAACCAACGAGCGTTTGACTACTATAAGAAAAACTCGCTCTCCATTGAGATAGTCAAGGACGATGTCCTCCAGAAGGTCAACTTCAGGGTCAAGAACAAGGTATGTGATTATTCTGGAAGTATACTGACATCAGATGAAGACGCATTTTATCTGAAATTAGGCTGTCCTATTACAACCTACAGTGGCTGTTATGTATCGTCCACAACCTGAGCCAGTATTCAATTTATCATGTCAGTTTAAGGGGCGGTGGGGTAGCATAGTAGTTAAGGGGTTCGATCGTCACACCGAAGACCCGGGTTCGATTCTCCACATGGACACAATGTGTTAAGCCCATTTCTTCTGCTCTAGGAGCTTCCGTATTCTAAGAGATTAAGACATCTATATGTGGCTACAGTGCTGTTGTAACCTGCCTTTGTTTACAGAGTGTGCTCAGAGAAGAGGTGAAGGAGAAACTGAAATGGAATGTGGACAGGTCGTCGCCTAGCAACAAGATCCGGGACCTTATGAACTGGACCCGTGATATCATGGGTGATATCTCCTATCAAAGGAAGATTTTGAACAACCCAATAGCGAAGATGTTCACGAAGGGCTGGTTAGTACAATACTGTGACATCATTCTGTTGCACATAAGGCAAGATAAATGTTAAAAATAGTCAGTTCAGGAACAGCTGTGTCATCACAGACCTCATGAATTACATCCAATGAAATGCATACAAGACTATTAATGATTCTTCTATTACAACACCTAGACATTTACCATGGGCATGTATCGGTTACTTGCTTTCCTCTCTGAAGACCGGCTCCGTGGTGTAGTGGTTAGAGCGTCCGCGGGAGAGCGGAAGGTCGCGGGTTCGATCCCGGGCCGCGTCATACCAAAGGACTTTAAAATATGGTACTTGTTGGTCCCTGTCTGGCGCTCGGCATTTATGGGTGCAACAAGTACTAATCGGCTCGGAGTCAGTATAATGTGTCTAAGTGGGGTATTCATGCTTCACTGCGGCATGGTATGTCGGTGAGCTAGCACTATACTTATGTTTGGGCTAGTACAAGCAGTCACACATACACACGCATGCACGTCGTCGTATGAGCGAAATATTCACAAGTACGACGTTAAACCCCATTTCACCTCACCTCTGAATACACGTGATACAAGCATTTGACGATTCCATCCAAAACATAGTGACGGAACATAATCAAACTTTACGGTGGATATCTCCACAGACATCGGTATGTGTGGACAGTTGCACAGGGGCGTGTCTCGTTTAGAAGCAGCGTTAGAAAGACATATATAGGTGTATAGACCCAACCCTATTACTATATAAAGAGTTTTGTATCTGTCTTTCTAATCGAGACACGCCCCTGTGAACAATCATGCATCTGCCAGGTCTGTTTCGTCAGGTCACATTTGATACCGTTTTTCCATCTTCATCAGGTTGCTGTGGAACTATGGTGCTATCATTCTGAGCATCGCCATCAACATCCTCATGTTGGTCACGTGGAATGCCAAGTCGTCTATGGAGGATTGTGGGAAAATCCTGAATGACAATCCTGAGAACGCTACAACACTCTGTCCTGGAATCTACGAGTAGGTGACCAATGCACCCATATGACTTGGTAACATAGGCCGGTGCTTAGTTTATTTGGGTTTTATTCATACATACGTTCGTGAGGGAAAAGGAGTTTATATCTTATACACCTATCTCATCACACCATATAAAGGCTAGTGATAAGAAGAACTTTGTTCAGGGAAACGAATTCGGGTTTTCAGCATTTCGAGAAAGCCCTTTTCACAACCACATATAAACAGTGCAAGGGTACGAACAGTGTTCTGTTACTATTGTATGGCAAGTAATACAGGCTTATACAGCTGCATTCTAGATAAACACTAACGTCAGGGTAAACATACGAAAACGTCTATGCAAGCGTCTCACGTATTCAACATGTCCTGTTTCAGTCCCAAGCCTCGCATTGAAGGTATACGAGAGGACCAGTACCAGATAACGTTATGGACGCTAGGGGGCGTCCACAACCTGTGTTCCTTGTTTGTTCTCATCAGCTACTTCCTGTCTAACCATCCTCGATTACCCCGCACATCCGACATCAAGTCATACTTCAGGTAAGATAGTTGTTTCTCAGATACCGACCTCAATTGCGTGCAGCGGATGCATAGATAGATAGATATTCTTTATTTCCTCCATAGTTTGAAGATTACAATATGTATATTATACAGTCAAATTATTTTTCCTTATCCTGGCTCATGCTATTTTGCTTGTCCTCTTCTCCTTGCGAACGTTAGTGGAACAGTTGAATCCCCTTTTGAAGCTCCCTTCCAAAAAGCAGACGTAAAATCACTACTCACCAAGAGTTATGCCCCTTCCTCAGTTTTGGCGGGAAACTGCGCCACCCGTCACCCAGCTCCTCACTCTCTCCTGCTTCGCCCTAGTACATGATACAACACAAATGCACATGAAGTAATTTATACTGGGTCGTAAAGTGAAATACAACAGTTATAAATATTTTTCCATTTAGGTACAGAATTTGAGACATAACATTTGCCCACACATCATTGTTTAGCTGGTCCTTTATATCTTCCGGTATTCCGCGAAGTAGAAATTTTAGAAATTCATCATCACCGTAGGTCCATAATTTTACGAACATATTAACATCAAGTAAGTCCCACATTTATTCAAATAAGACATTTCTTTCAGCAATATTAATCTTACAAGTCATAAAGACCTGCTTTAAAATATCGTTCGCCACAGTAGCACACTCACATTCCTTCGACTGAATGGGGACAGAACCCAGTTTAATAAGAAAACCAATACCTTTATAGTACCTTGGTCTGTCAAGCGCCAGTTGCCATAGTCGATTTACACCGTCCGATTTTATTGACTGATACCGTATCAATGACAGCCTTGAATGAATGGCATATTCTGCTGCCTTTCTATCACATTGTAAGACCTTTTCCCGTACCACTCTTGACCATTTCCTTTTACATAAAAATTTAGAACATACTACATATTGTTTAATTTCTTCCTGGATACCATATTTAGCTGATAATTCCAACATATGAAATGTAGGAAATTTCATATCTCGTTTATTGTCATATTGCAAGATTCTATGTAAAAACAGCTGTTTGAAAGAAAACGTAATACTGCTGTTACATAATCTGCCGGGGCGGTGGGGTAGCCTAGTGGTTAAAGCGTTCGCTCGTCACGGCGAAAACCCGGGTTCGATTCCCCACATGGGTACAATGTGTAAAGCCCATTTCTGGTGTCCCCGCCGTGATATTGCTGGAATACTGCTAAAAGCGGTGTAAAACAAAACTCACATTATCTGCCAACTAGCAACAGAGAACGTTGATCTATATAACCTTGTATATAAGCTTGAATGAACCTCAGTAACCCATGCTTGTCGTAAGGGGCGACTAACGGGATCGGAAGTTTGGGCTCGATGGTTTGGTTGACACATGTCATCGATTCCCAGCGCAGACCGTTGCTCATGCTGTTGATCACTGGATTGTCTGTTCCAGACTCGATTATTTACAGACTGACGCCATATAGCTGGAATATTGCTGAGTGCGGCGTAAAACTAAACTCACTATGCAAGGATTAAGGCTCATTTACTATTTATGAGTTAACTGTGTCACAACTCCACCTCGGAACAGCCTCATATTATATATCACTTCGCCTAATTATATGTTTTCCTAGTGAGAAAGGGACCGCCTCCGTGGTGTAGTGGTTAGAGCGTCCGCTCGGAGAGTGGAAGGTCGTGGGTTCGATCCCCGATTGCATCATACCAAAAGGCGTTAAAATATGGTACTTGTTGGTCCCTGCCTGGCGCTCTGCATTAATGGGTACAACAAGGACTGGTCGGCTCGGAGTCAGTATAATGTGTCTGAGTGGGGTATTCATGCTTCACTGCGGCATGGTATCTCAGCGGGCTAGCACTATAAAACAAGCGTAAGTCTGGGCTAGTACAAGCAGCCGCACATACACATACACGCATGCACGTCGTCATGTGAGCGAAATATTCTCAAGCACGACGTTAAACCCAATTTCACCTCACCTCACCTAGTGAGAAAGGGGAGGGGGTGTAACAATGGGTTTGATTGAAACATATTTTATTCACTTAAGAAACGGATTGGGCACAAGTTATCTAACTTAAGTATGCCCTCTCCACATAGTTACAAGTGTATATTACAAAAAAGTTCAACAATGGGTAGTATCTCCTCTCATGTGCAATATTCACCCTGTTAAGTGTATTACATGTTGTTTAATGGGTGTTCACAGGAAGCTTTGTGGGAATCAGGGACAAGAAGAGGAGGAGGATTCCAAGAAGGACGACAAGGTTTCCAAACTGGATATCAACTTCTTCAGCTTCACCACATTCTACTACCTGGTACGTCATGATCACGGCCACTGTTCAGCATTACGACCGTCACATGGTCTGCTGATGTTATGAGTCAGCGTTCTCGCCCTGTTGTCACAGATCAAATCATTTTACCGGGTTTTGTAGTTCAACTACGCCATCCTTATATAGACGTCCCTAAGTCAGATGCAGCTGCCAATATGGATGTTTCTAAATGTATCGAAACAAATTTAACCCCATTGCCTGGAGTAATACATGTATTCCCTGCCCGCGACCACCTGGCGTCATTGTCTGTAATTCATGAAATACGGATTTCAGTGAACGTGTCGCTTACATATAATTTTTTGGGCCCTTCATGTGAAAGAGGTATGAGTGTGTGGGGTGTCCGATTGTAACAGACAATGTTCTGCTTTCTGTTGCAGCTGTTTCTGGGTATGTCAATAGCAGGGACCCTGTTCCACGGCTATTTCTTTGCATTCCACCTTCTCAACATCGTCAACAACAATCAGCTTCTCAGCGGCGTCATAAAGGCTGTCACAGTCAATGGTAAGGCTCATCAGTGACTTCCGCACATGTTATAGAGTCATGCTCTTGATTACACACGTTCCATCATATTGGATCACCCCCTTATTACAATACAAACCAAATCCAAGATTCTGTCTTTAAATCCGCATTGCAATTGATAAGAACAGAGACAAGTATCCCAAGATTTAGAAACGACTTCGTGAATGTTAAAAAGGAAATTCCAGTGTAGGTTGGAACATGGAACCGGCTTACATTAAGAAATTGGTGGACCAACCGATTTTAGGATAATAAGGAACTTTAATGCTGAAATGCTTCGTGAAAAGTGTGATATGTTCCTCATTTCACAACTGACCAAATGTAAATCGATATCCAGTGACATCAACATGTTACAGCAGTTTTATGCAGTGTTATACCCATGTCGTAGTATACTACTCGTATATCGTTATCATACACTGCTACAGGTATGTCGTTGTCTTATACTACAGGTATGTCATTGCTGTGGGTGGCTGTACTCGGATTCATCCTCATCTACATCTACTCGCTCATCGGCTTCGCCCTCCTCCGATCCTACTTCTCCCCGGACGAATATCTGTACTGTTCTACGCTCTGGGAGTGCACGGTGACAGTCATCCGATACGGTCTCATAGGGGATATGTTTGAGGTGAGTACACTGTTCTAGCCTCTAGGACAAGTCCGATCCTATAGATAAAGACCTATTTGCCAGATGTACGCATTTGATAATTCTGTAGCTGTAAAACTAGGTAGTTAATGTTTGCTTTGTCAAATGGACTTTGACAATCGTATGACATTATATACACGTTTTCTGACTTTCAAAAACCATGTAGACCAACGCAATCCACAACCACCATCATGATATACCAGTAGGATTAGTGTGTATAATGCCATGATATAAACACAATATGTACATGAGCTTTTGGAGATGGTCAAGGACCTCTTGGCCAACAAATATTTTAGATTTCACATTTCACATAAACTATTGTAGTTGAGCTATGAGCTATTGTTCGTGAATTATTGTCGCTGACCTTCGACACATTGCCTATTTAGGAAATCAAGCAGAATCCCATGGGAAGCTCCTTCACTCGCTTCTGGCCCCTGGTCATCTACCATGTCTCCTTCTTCATCTTCATCACCACCATTGGTCTCAACATAATCTTCGGTATCATCGTCGACACCTTCTCAGAGCTCAGAGATCTCAAGGTACGTTTCAGATAATATAGAGGCGATGGGGTAGCCTAATTGTTTAAGCGTTGGCTCGTCACGCCGAAGACCCGGGTTCGAATCCCATCGGTACAATGTGTGAAGCCCATTTCTGGTGTCCCCCGCCGTGATGTTGCTGGAATATTGCCAAAAGCGGCGTAAAACCAAACTCAGTCAGATGATATATTTGTAACAGCCAATATGTATATGGCATGTTATACGCAAGCAAATACCCGAGAAAATCGGTGTAAATACTAGACTGTGCAACCAAAGCTAATCGGAAATGGATCGGGTGATCGGCCTCGCTGACTTTGTGCATGCATTTCAACAATAGGTGCATATGCTCATGATCACTGGGCTGTTTTGTTGTTTAACCAGCATCTGCTTACACATTTACGACACTTAGCTGTGCTTCCCACATTACATAGACACAATGTGAAAGTGTTCCGTGATGTCATTCACAGTACCTTCTGGTTTCAGTGGCGAGCAGAGTCGGACATGAAAGACACGTGTTTCATCTGCAGCAGGAACAGCTACGATTTTGAACATCACGGACGGGTACGCATTGCCTTGTTGGCTCGCCTGTCCTAGAACAAACATACCCAAACAGACTGTTTGCTTTATAACAGTATGTCCTCAAACATGGATCATACCTGGATACCTATTCAGGAATTACCTGAAATTTTTCAAGACAAAGTAATGGTACACTTACAGAATACCGGATACGGCAACCTTATTGTTTAATGTCACGTCACCCGAACCCGAACCCGAACCCGAACCCGAACCCTAAACCTTACCCTAACCCTAAACCTTGCCCTAACCCTAACCCAAACCCTTACCCTTAACCTTGCCCTAACCCTTACCATAACCCTAGGGTTAGGAAGGTATCCGGTATTCTGTAATCTTACCCAAAATAGTGATTCATCATATTTGTAAGGCATAAAATTCTCATCGAACCCACAATTTGTCCACTAAAATCTCTTCTGTCATAAGGCGATCTATCATTTAATCCCTAAGTTGAGTGACATTTTGTGACATTATCCAGAACCATTTTGTATGTTTACAATTCCCAGTGCTGACATATCAATTTTTGCAGGGTTCCGACTACCACGTCCGCTATGAACACAACATGTGGGCGTACATCTATTTCATCATCCACCTGGACGACATCAAGGCCAGCGACTACACCACCCTCGAACTCTACGTCAGCAAACTGGTCAGTGATTAATTCAAAGCCATATATAAACTCATCAAATGTTCACGTCATACCTTTGCATGGTACACATTCTCAATAAACAGTATGCGTCTCCAACATGTAGGGATTCCTTCCTTCAGCAATGTCGATAATCTATTCACACATTTGCTGTTTTCAGGCTTCCAGGGAGAGCTACGATTTCTTCCCACTGAACCGTGCTCTGTGTCTGACCTCCGTGGACATTGATCCCACGGAGTCTAAGATCGATGACCTCCTACACCAAGTCAACTGTATCTCCAAGAAACAGAAGGAAGATGTGTAAGTAATACCAGTGCGTGGATATGTGCGCTATATAAATACCCTATAATAATAATAAAGAAATGATAATAATAAGTCAGGACTAGTGTAAACAGGAAGGGAGTCAAGTGGTTAACTACTGACTCCTCACCGCGCAGGACTAGTAGAAATCATACAAAAAGTTCTGATTTCTGACATGGATTTTATGGACCTTACCATACGTGTTAACAATTGCACAGTTTGCACACTCACTGTAATTCATAGACATTATTGATACGTGTTCATATATCTTTGTATATTGTGCATATCATCCACTTGATGCAGATTCAGACTTAAGCATTTTGGAATGTTTTCTAAACTGAATATTGTTACCTGTTCACAGGACGCTGAACGAAAACGTAAGGTTGAAAAGCTGAAACAGAAGAGATGGCAAGAAAAACACCGTAGATATATTTTCGGTGGAGACTTCGACAATGAAAGAGAACCTTTGATCCCGCCATCCCGAGCGATCAGCGAGGACAGGTTGTCAAGGGAGCCAAGTGTCTTGAGAGACGATAGGAGAAGTGAGGTCAAACGGCCCCAGAAGTCCAAACGCGGGGATGGTCGTGGAGCCAAATATCTGGCTCCTCCTGAAGATTACTCCACGCCGAAGCCTAAGAAACCATACATCAGCTCAGCCAGAGAAGAACAGGATGACGTCGAAGGTCTAATATCAGAATCTGAGGAGTCTCATTCTGGCAGTGACACGTTTCAGCGAGAAGGTTCCTATGACATCCTAGATGAGGATATTCCCGTGAGAGATATGGCTCAACTGCCTCCACCACCACCACCTCTCCCGCCTCCTACCACCTCCCAAGTAATATCTGGTCCCCTCACGCCACATGCACTCCCCCCTCCGCCTCTCTCGGCGTCTCGCAGAGTTCCGCCCGATGATGATGATGATGCAGATGAATCTGGAGAGGGTCCTGACAGAACGACAAGGCTTTGAGGTTCTTGGGAGTGGAACTTTCGGATTATCATGATACAGTTGGTTACATCACGTGCAGCTTTCGTTATGGTAGGAGGCAATTTAATGTTTGAATGTTAAGAAAGAGGTGTATTGAATGAATCAGGACAGGTTTGCAATGACAAGATTTGAGTTGTACATGAATATGTTTGTCGTCAACTCGGGATCAATGTTATTGTGAACAGCCATATACCGGTAACGTATCCATTTGTTTTAACGGATACAGATGCAGTCACGTGAGCTGATCCAGGAGGATACTCCAGAATGTGATGATAGTGGTACCGGAAGTGAGCTGATATGTAGTCACGCATCAAGGATACTCAAGCTTCGGAGTATCGTCTGTTCTGTGACTGGATATGCAATCGTTTACCATCTGTTCAAGACCGACACGCGAGGCTTGTAATCCTAACTTGTTGACACAGTTCCTTCTTGGATCACAATTGAGGTGACAATATACAGAGCCATTTCAAGGATACTCAAACGTCATCCCAGTGTGTGGACACTTCCACGCGCCGACGAGGAGAACGACTGTGCCTTGCTCTTCTGAACATGTGCCCTATGAAGGACTATTACATGTTATCCGTGGCCCCGAGAGACCAGGGTTGTCTCTGATCTCCATTAGTTGTCATCAACAAGGAAGCTATGCATTTATGACGCGCGAAGGGAGATAACTGAACGTGGTGCACGTTCAAAGTTGACCAGCTATAAACATGTGGACCCATACGGTCCTGACTTCAAAGCCTGTGCCGTACAACGTTTGTGCTAGAGTAACAGATATTTGTTATTTGTTAATTAGTTTACAAGTGTTTATTTTCATGTCTTCCTTTCTAGACTAATATGCACCTTGTGAATCAACCGTTAGTAGTGCAAAGTCAATGCATCTGTATTGGGTACTGAGAACAATCTCATAACCCTGTCGTCATCAGGAATACGTGTTGACACCTTCACTGTACATATACCGTACTTCTCCTCGCGGAAGTATTCACGGCTATCGTATTGGCACCCTTCAACGTACTCATTGTTATCAGTGCTTCCATATCAGGGTCACGTGGGCAAAGCAATCGCAGCATTGAGGTGTCGGTCAACCCGTGGTCAAACACGGATGTCTCCCCCAATCCCCAGTAAATGACAAGTCGCTAATGTTTCCGTTTCTTGCTACTGTTCAAGTCGATGTCAACGCGTGTTAGAATCAGACTATGATGCACGATCGGCTACCGCAATAGGACATAACTGTTTCCAATAATCAACATCACAATATTTTACACACAAATTTTTAAATCCATTATTTTTTCTATTTGATAATTTTATAAATGTACCTATTTTTAAACAAAGTACTTCTTGTACGAAATGGTATATATTTGATTAGTAGCTGACAAAATCTATGGATGTTGTGGGTTATATTTTATGTATTCATTGTTGAAATGATGATTGCTCCTTAGTCTCGGTCACAAAATTAGCATGCAGGATAATGAAGCCATTAATTCATACAGTTCCACCGTTTTGACACATAACTCGTGTCAACGGCAACATCAAAAGGATGCTATTTAGAATAGAAATAGTTGCTACATCTTATAGCCATACTGTAGCCTTTAAGCTGGAGCCTAGGTGATCGGGCGGTTTGACTTCACTAACGGGTTTAGGGGTTTCATTGTACGACAGTGTAAATAACCCTATGTGATATTTTAGTGGTTATACCCTAGGTCCCGCCATACTTGAAGACAATTATGTTATGGGAATGAGCCGGTGGCCTTTTATGTTTGGATGTTGAGTATATTTTAGTTGAGATTCTTTTATATCTCGTTGTCATTTTATGTACAATATGACAGAGTGCCGACGTTATGATGCAATTGTTGTTGTAATGTTCATGATTGTTTTTGTACATAATATTTTATCATTTTCCTACCTACTGCAAAGCATTATGGTGGTGTTGCCATAGTAACCCATCGAAACGCACACATTGGCGCCTTCAACTACTTGATCTATGATGCCAGAGAGTAACTTCTGGAACCGGACGCCATGCTCTGGAGGTTGTCCCCAAATACAATTTAGCCCCACTCAAAGTAAAAACTATGGAACGGGAAAGTTGAACATGTCATACTTATATCGTAGAATACATATCGAAATTATTAGTTATTTGATGTTTTCTTTTATTCAGAGCTTTGAGGAGCTTCCATTAGACGCTCCGAAATTGGGGATTCGCGCCCCAATAGTTCATTGTGTAAAGTTCATTCTTGACGTCCGGCTATCATATCGCGATAGTTCATTACGTTCACATGCCATATTCACGTAAGTACCGCGTTCATTGGGTTTGTTTGGTAGTATTGATGGTAATCTAAAAAGAAATAACTGTCATGGAGAATTTAACATAAGAGACAACATCCAGAGCAGGTGGCGTGTGAAACAGAACTCACTTGGCTATCACGTATAACAAAAGTGTGTATAAACCTTACAGGACCTGGTTACTTGGCCGTTCCCAGTCCGAGAGTAGTTATAGGTGTTTGTTAGAGGTAGGTTCTAATTGTTAATACTGACTTGAGCTGCTGAAAGAATCAGCATCCCTGCCAACCTTTGTATATATGAATTAGTCTCGTACATCTGATGTTGTTTTCCGAGATTTTATCAAGCATATAAACAAATAAAAATGCAAATAAACAGACATTTTATACCATGCCTGGGAGCGTTGTTGTGTTGTGTTGAAGTATGTGTTGTGTTACCTTCACGCAGAAGGCGGCTGTGTCACGACATGGAGTCATCGTTAAGGACGGCGCAGGTCAATCCGACAACTGACATTTACTGCAGCGAATATGATCATATTCCTAGTAAATATACAAATGTCATAAATGACTGTTTCAGGTCACACCACACATCTCACTACTTTAATATGCTCCTTTAGGTATGTCAATACACGTCTCATTACAAAGGATATCCTTGTGGTTACATCAGACAACGGATATCCTGCCGGTTACACACATCGCGAACAATGCACATCCTTGTGGTCACACATCTAAACACAGGATTCCCCTGTGATTATACAACTTTCAAGCAAGGGATATCACATATTATTGGATATTTATATAGCGCACATATCCACGCACTAGTGCATGCTCAAGCCGCTGGTATTTTTTCCCCACGATCATTGGATGTCAATCTCAAGTCCCAGAGGAGCATGTAACTCTTGCTGCCACTAGGCGCACCGAGTTATTGCGGCTTTCCCATCCTTACAAGGTACCCATTCACAGCTGGGTGGACTAGGACACATAGTCACAGTACTTTGTCCACGTTTACTGCACGTTGCTGTACCCACAACTATGTGTTTGCACGTATTCATGTGGCCACCATCTGGTCATATACCAACGGATTCGTGGGTTCTTTTAAGTGCACAGAGTTGTGACAACACTGAAAGAGTCTGCACACAAAGTTGACTTCAAGGTTTTTACACCCGGTCACAGTGGGCTCGATCCTGGCACCTCATGCCCGCTGGATCACTAGCCTGGCGCCTTAGCTAGCTCGTTCACCACGCCCCCCTTCACATCAGAGGATGTCCTTGTGGTTGAACACGGATCAGTACTTGATTCGACACATCGTAGCTTTCGAACACTTCGTAAACAGTTAAAGCAATGGAAAAATTGGTGACCTAGTAAATAAGTATGACGGAAACATAACAATGCTCAACGAGGACTGCCTTGTCCCATGCCCTTAATACTGGGGATATACAGAAATAACCTACGACTGCTTAAAAGGGAAGTGTACACGAATAAATCACGTTTATTCTTACGCGAAACAAAGTGGATTTTTTATTAGTTAATATCAGTATTTGAAACATACTCATTTTTCTTACTATGGAAGTATAACCGTCAATATAAGTGCTGAAATGTTTTGCCAGTATGAGGCCGAGCTAAACAGGCCAGAGTTACCGCCCCTTAACTATGCCGTAATTGGTGCCCCTTGATTTTTACTGGTCTCCTGCCTTTTTCCAAAGCAAAACTTGATATGAAAGAGGAACGCGTTTTGTATCCTATTTATTACCCACCTTCTAAAAATGAAAATATCGTTAAAGGTCACATGCAACGTAAAACACAACTTTGCAGATTCTGATACCTTTCGGTATGGACTTACCGAAACAAATCGTCAAAAATGCAAATTCAACTTATAAAGTTGAAAAATAACGCGATGAAAAAAACCGCGCGAAATCGGAGTTCAAACGTTTCACTAATTTCCCCAGACTTTTCTGGGGAAAACGGGTTTCAACAGCTGGGTTGCGCTCATAACACGTGCGCAGTGAAATAGGTTCGCGCAACTTGGAAGTGGGTTGTCCGCTGAATACTCGGTGAAGGCTTTGGTGTGAGCTTTTTCTAATGTTTTGTTGATACCTCACAGGCGCGAGCTTTTTATATGTTATGACAGTAAATTAACTGTTTATATAATTTCACCACACACGTTCTTCTTACCGAGTCACTTTCTCAGTTCGAAATTTGCTTTCCTATATAGAACCGCACAACGCTGATTAATACATCATATTGGTGATTGGAATGTCAACCGATTCACTCCAGGAAAATGTATGCTGCCTAGAGGCAAAGTACTTCCTTTAACTAGTCAAGAAAATAAACAAATGAAGAAGGAATCAAGTCGTAATCAAACTTTAATTATTTTCAATTGAGGATTTGGTTTCAAATGCAATAATGTAATTCATCAAAACACTTGTAAGTTTACGCCATATTTGTTTACACCCACGATAGACCTAGTAGACGTATTTGTTAACTTATCTATATTGTTTTATTTTCGTTTTCATGTACAGAAACTTGAGTATTAAAGTATTTAAAACCTATGCTTGTAATCACACTAAAAGTAAATTTTATTTTATTTAATTTCATTGAAGTGTTCTAGTTTCACATGCTCTCAGAAGGTGTGAATGAAACTAATGAATGGAATGAGTGATGGAAGTAGTACCGGTAATGTCAAAGTTCACGTATTAGCCAATCAAATCACTCGAAGGTGTTATGACACATATGTGTCATAAAACTTTGTTATGAAACCCCTTTACGAACTACCAGGTGGGTAATAAGCATCGATAGAACGCAAAAAATAAAGTAGTTACTTCTGATGTCTGTACGGTTTTGGTTATAAAGCTACTCGACAAAGACTTTTCATGATGAAAATGTGCAAGACAAAAAGGTTAGTTTTCGTGTACACTTGCTCTTTTAAGAAACACAGTTCGCTCTATCCCATGTATAGTGTAATAAAGTGCACTTTTCCCTGAACTATTTTGTTAAGGCACCCAGACGCAAGCGTTCTCGTACGGAATCTATTTCAATGAGAAGGGGAACATTCCAGGGGAACTCCTTTAGTCCTTTGCCTTTTTTTTCACGTTTTTATTTCTCAGTACATGTTT